TACTGGATGGTTGAATATATATAGATCGGATACGCGACTCTTTAGAAGCGTAACCTGACGCATGAGCTTGAATGTAGATTTAAGCTTGCGAATGACGTCCTTCTGGGACGTCTTGATGCCTAGCTTTAACTAGCGTCATCCCTTCCCATGTGAATTCATCAATGGATATCACATTCAAGAGGGTGGATCACGTTTGTGTATCGCACCCAAGTGACAGGTCAAAAGTAATCATGGACCTAACATTAAGTATATTACTTAATGTTTACGTGTAACTAGATGCCCTGTTACAAAGTTGGCCTTCATACCATCGTTTTAGCTAGATATATTCAGGTGATAAAGTAAAATGATGTTATGAAAGTCAACGTGTACCCGTCGTTCCGACGGACACAGTAAGCGAAATCTGCCTTTTGATATTTGTACTTATCTTCTTATTTCAATATATCCGGTTAAATAAGGTAAATCGATAGGTATGAAGGTGAATCTGTGCCCGTCGTTCCGTAATGTAGAATATCCGGTTAACTCAGGAATATTAATAGGTATGACACTATATATATGGGTCACTTCGCTAATTGTAACTATATCCAATTCATTCTGATGACAACACTTGCTATTTGCCAACTTTTTGGTGTATTAATAAAGCACTAAACTCATGTTCTAAACGAATCTTAAGCATGTGCCTACTCTAATGTTTCAAAAAAATGCTGTGTTTGATAGCAATTTGTAAAGATGGGTATGAACGTCAATGTGTACCCATCGTTTCGTGAATTAATTATGTAAAAAGGAGCACGTACCCGGACACACTGAATTCTGTGATGTCGATCTACTCATGTTACAATAAATACAAAATGCACAATCATCCACTACAAAATTAGCCAATCCGAATGCCGGAAAAGGATCGCACGACTAAATAGTTTAAACACTTTTCTTGTTGTAACACAAAACGATATAGACGTTTATATGCTTTTATCTTGCCTTACAAACAGATCACTAGCTAATTCTTCAAAGAAAGCGCAGTTAAGGTTATATCAGATTCTACCAAGCTCGCTTTCTGATTCTTCATTGATCTCTCCCCTTACGGGTTGTAACAGCACGCAAGCCACGTGAAGATCGTATCACGAATGGTCAGAGTAATCTACTTGGTATAATATATACATTTGAAGGTGCTTGACTATCACGCAGCGTTCAATTGCAACTCGTTCCAATGGTACATCTCTTGCGACATCGAATCGAACCGGCAATTCTGGATCACGTGGATCAAGCGACCGTGAGACTCACACAGTCCTCGCTTCAAGTGCGGCACCCAACATTATCTCTTCTAATCATGACCCCTGACTGCAGCGTGTACGTGTACCACTCGCTTGCGCTCGCTCTGTTTCGGCGACGAAGCTGCATCGCTAGGGATTCCTAGCTTTCCATTTGGATAATTATCAAACAAGTCTCACCTAAGAGGTAGTAAGCAAGCATGACATGGTAGACAATTACGCGAGGCTGCCTTCCTCAAACACGCCACAGACTTTGGCGCGTCCAAGAAGGCCGTTGCGCGGTCACTTGATTTACGTCTATGAAGTCAGATCGCCTCACCCTACTGCTCAGACGGGGGTGGTATCACATTTTAGTAGCAGAAAGAACGTATGACACTTGTTTTATGTTCATCGCCTACTTTCATGGAGGAACCGAATGCTTGGAGGTTCATAGAGTATTGCCACTTGCACGAAATGCATTTGCGATACTAGTATACAAGTACATGTCTAGGGAGCCGTATGGTGTACAGTAGCGTGTAATTAAGTCGATTTTTTCGTGCAGATAGATAGCCTAACTTGAAGTTAGCACACTCGACCCGCCGAACATACGGCATTGCGATATTCTGAGCTTCGGTATACACTTGAGTGCGACACGGCTTTTCTCTTGTCACATAGATCACCGCATATCACCTCGACACTAATGCAAACAATACAAACGTTTGTCGCACCAGACAATATGTTGTAATGCAGCGTTGATAATTGTGCATGTACTGCTACAATGCCATGCGTTTTAAAAACCTGTTTCTGCGATACAACACGTGCTCATATACACGATGTACACCATAGAACGTTGATCTACACGGAAGATATTATCAACATGCAATATCCGATGATACTTCAAGTATTTTGACCAACCTTCACGTATCCTGGTTTTTGCTAGGCAAAGTACGCTGCGCTTCGATTTTTCTTTGCTAGCAATGTGGTGAATCATTAAGAAAATAAAAGTTGTGGGTATTGATAGAAGTAAGAAGTAGAGGTTGTACGGTCAATCTCCAATGCACGACGTTCATGTCAAAGCTTTACGCGATGTCTGAGCTTCGAGATACGGCGCACAAGTAAGTTACCTGTGCACCGTATCTCAAAGTTCCGACCATCGCGAAAAACCTTAACAAGTACATCGTGCACCTGGCCACCTGTGTCTGCCTAGTCAAGAGACAGGCGGAGGCTGGTTTTGCGCGATATCTGAGCTTCGAGATACGGTGCACACGGTGCGAGCATCATTACGTCTGCCTAGACAAGAGACAAGCGGATGCTGTACTTCAAATACAACGTACACATTTGCCGATGCTTGAATGGTCAGTCACCTCTGCTCGCTTAAAAGTCTCTTTTTGTATCGGTGGCCATTTGCTTTTCTCATTTTTCATTTGGACAATTGTCCAACAAGTCTCTACTACCACCAAGCACGTTAGCAGACATGGCAGACGCAGCAGACAATTACTACGGAGTTTCTACCCCCAAACCCGTCAAGGCCTTTGACGAAGCCAACAAGGCTGCTGCGCGTCTCATCAATCCCAAGACCATCCTATACACCAGTGCGGTGCTATCATGGCTGCAGCCGTTCCAGAGCGGTTGGTCTACCTCACAGATGAACCTGTCACAGTACAACGACACAGACGAGTGCAATGCGCGTCCCGTGGCTGAAAACACGTGCCTCATGTTCCCTGGTCACTCGAAGATGGAGTGGACGTTCGCTGTGAACGCCTGGATCTTTGGTGCTATGGTCGGCTCACTGTTGTGCAGCTACTTTAGCGACAAGTACGGCCGTAAAAAGACTTTGATGCTGAATTGCATCTTCATGATTGTGGGTGGTATCGTGCAAGCATCCGTGTCGAACATTTGGCTTTTTGCTCTGGGTCGTTTCATTGCCGGTATTTCATCGGGTACGGCCACAGCCACAATCGGTGGCTACATCAACGAGCTGTCACCACCGCATATGCGCAACACTCTGGGTCTGGGCCTCCAGATTTTCACTACGATCGGTATCTTGTTCCCTGCTATCTGCTTCTTTTTCGCCAACACGAGCTCTGGCTGGCGTTATCTCGCTGCGTTCCCCGTTGTGCTTGCTGCCATCTATCTGCTGTTGGCACCATCGTTGTGCGTGGAAAGCCCAGCATGGTTGCTGACCCAGGGTCGCAAGGAGGAAGCGAAGCAGGTGATCTCTCGTTTGTACGGCGAAGAGCACGTACAGACGGCTCTTTCATGGCTGGAGGTGAGCAAGAAGCCGGAGTACGTTGAGGAAGGCCCGACCGATGCAACATCTACACAAGAGTCAATGTTTGCTTCTCGCTACCGTATGCAGCTTCTGGGTGGTATCATGCTGTCGTGTGCGCAGCAGCTTTCGGGCATCAATGCCGTGTTCTACTACTCTGGCAGTATCTTTTCGGATGCCGGTATCTCGGACTCGCGCGTGGGCACACTGATCATCGACTTTATCAACATTTGGCCCGCGTTCTTCACGGGTGTGCTGGCCAACCGTTTCGGCGCTCGCAACATGATCCTGTGGGGTCTGTCGGGCATGGTGGTCATGTCTATCGGTATGACGGTGGCGTTTGTCGTGGACGTATCAGCTCTGTCGGTTGTATTTACGGCCTTGTACGTGATCGTGTTCGGCGTGACGCTGGGCCCACTCGTGTGGGTGATGACGGCCGACATTTTCCCGGATTCGATCCGCGCTAGCGCGTCGTCGCTTTGCATCGGTATCAACTGGCTGTGCAACCTTATCGTGGGCGTCTCGTATCCGTACGTTTCGGATGCACTGGGAGACTATGCGTACGTTCCATTCGTGGTACTGCTGGCAATCTTTTACCTGTTGGCTCTGAAGCTGGTGCCGGAAACGTCGGGCAAGTCAGCTGAGGAGATTCAGGCCGAGTACGATGCGCGTCGCAAGCAAGTAGACTAAAAAAGTCCTAAGAGGAGTTTAATGCGATGCTGATTGCTTTGCTTAGTCTCTACTAGCTGGTGGTAATACATATAACATTGTTTGATTAGTCATAAGTATCTCTCACGTAAAAGCTAATGCCATTAACTGCTGAGTGAGAGAGAGAAAATAGAGACGAAATGACCGTACACACTACATTGATAACAAACAGCTTCAGTGATCACGCCCCAGATTTATACTTAGGTTTGCTTTTGGACGAACTTTTGTGTCTATGCAACGGCCTCTTGTCAAGAACAACGTGATTAAATTGCAACAATGAAGTCATTCGTCGACAAGAATTAAGGTTTGTTTGCACCAAGTAGTAGGCTTCACTTTTTGAGTACGCACGTCGAACTGCTTCGCTCACGCCGTAAGGACGTGACTCACTGTACTTTCAACATAAAGGACAACTAACGTTATAACTTCGCCTATGCTATCGAGTGAGCTCAACTATCTACTTATTAGCCAAAGAGGTTAGTAACTTATAGTCAGGACGACGTACGACATTGTCCCGTTGATCCTTCGCTATTTATGAGACACATGAGTTTTCATCGTACAACTGTCATCGTACAACTGTCATCATACAATCGTTTATTGTTTTAGGAAAATGCAGATTTCTATCATGTTTCTAATTTAAGCTAGTGTATACCACTTCAAGTGCTGACCCCGAAAACTCTTTTAACCAATCATCGTTCGGTGTCATGCTACACTTGATGTTTCTAAGTGAGTTTACACGTCAGAGTAGCAGTATCAGCTTCAGTTTCTAATCAGTGAGCATCCCCATGACACGTGGCCTTCACTTGGTGCTGCTACTTGTACTAGCGTGCTTTATAGCGCTCTCCGTAGCTGGTAAAGACTATTACGAGATCTTGGGCGTATCTCGTGACGCATCATCGGCTGAAATCAAGCGCGCGTTCCGTAAATTGTCGCTTAAAGTGAGTATCGCTTTGTACCTCGCACCCAATGTAAATATTGATCTCTTCTTACTCTATATATACTCTTTCTTTTTATATTATAGCATCATCCTGACAAGAACCCAGGAGACGAGACTGCTGCCACAAAATTTGCAGAAGTAGCTAGTGGTGTGTGGTCCACATGATGACCTTCATAGGGTCATGGCTTGTCAGAATTTATATCCAGCCGGGTTTCTAACAATGGATGTCAACTCTCTCTTCCATACTTAATATAGCATATGATGTGTTGTCGGACGACGAGAGAAAAGACAAATACGACCGTTACGGCGAGGAAGGACTTACTAATGCTGGTGGAGGGGACAACCATGACCCGTTTGACATTTTCTCACAGTTTTTCGGTGGTGGTCGTAATCGGCGTGAACAAGAACCATCACGAGGTCCTGATGTGGTGATGCCATTGCGAGTATCACTGTCTGATTTGTACAATGGCAAGAGTTTGCAATTTTCTATTCGTCGTGAGGTAGGAGCAAACTGGGGACTTGGTTTTTTGTGGACAAAAGTTTTTGTGGGGTTTCTTAGAGCTGACAATGATGTTTTTATATTGTTTGATAGACAATTTGCCACCATTGTCATGGCAAAGGTGCAGCTCATGAGGAAGATATCCATGTATGCTCGGAGTGTCGTGGACACGGTGTGAAGACGTCGACACGACGTGTGGGTCCAGGCTTTATCCAGCAGTTTCAAACCACTTGTACCAAGTGTCATGGCAAGGGAAAAATCTACACGAGCACGTGTCCAGTGTGTGGTGGTCGCAAAGTGGAGATGACCGACCTTAACTTTGACGTGGAGCTGGACAAGGGCACGCCTGACAATTTTGAGATTGAACTGGAAAATTACGCCGACGAAATTCCAGGTCAACCGGCTGGTCATGTGCGTTTGCAGGTACTTACTGCACCGCATCCAATGTTCACGCGTGAAGGTGACGAGTTGTGGATGGACATGGACATTTCGCTGCGTGAAGCACTTATTGGGTTTAAAAGGAGCTTTACGCATTTAGATGGACGGCGAGTGGAAGTAGTCCGTGATGAAATCACGCCGCCTCGTTTTGTCACGGTGCTGAAAGATGAGGGCATGCCAAAGCAGCATCGCCCGTTGGAAAAAGGTCAGCTGCACATTAAGTTGCACGTCCAATTCCCCGAGAATCTTTCAGAAGAGCAAAAGGTCGGCTTTCGCAAGTTATTTTCGATGAAGTAATGGAATGCGAAAGCATTTGTGTCGACAGGCTTTTAGAACACGATATTGGAGAATGAATTGTTCATGATGCTAAACATTTCGTCGCTCTATTTGAATTTGAGAATAATGTTTCTCATCGATGCCGTGTTGATCTTCTACTAAAAGTTGATGTAAAAAGCGCAGCGCCCTCTAGCCTCGATTGTCATCAACTTACAGCATAAGCTTTCCTAGAATTACCAGGACAACCGAATCATGTCACGACTTTAGTGGGCAGGCATTTTACAGCTTGAAAAAGAATGCACAAAGCCATTTGTGCGACTAAAGGAAAAATTAATTACAAATTACTTACGAAATGGACGACGTACGAGCAGTTAGAAAGGATGTCGGGACAGCTGAGAGCAATTTAAAGTCGCCATCTGGGTCGTAAAAGTGGCTTGAAAGTCTGCTTATTCCCAGCGACTCCAAGATGTCAAGTTACATCATGCACTTCCCAATTCGAGCCTTCGAGCAACAACGGCCAAGAGACGAAGACCTTCAAAGAGCCGGTCAACCGGCCCCCTCCGACCAGGGCGGGAAGTCCCTCCAACGGGAGGCCCAGGATAAGAGGGGGAGGTTTTCCCTCTGCTGCGTGCGCTATGGGGGGCAAGCGCAGCGTGCGAACCGTAAGGGGAGCACCAACCCTGTTACCCCCGGGGGGAGAGGATCGATGACCGCGGTTATCATTCCCTCTTTCCCCAATAGTTCCTGCTATTCTACGTCAGCCTTCAAGCCGCCGATTCGATCGCCGAGCGCGAATCTCGGTCCCACGAAGTGAACTTGCCAAGAACGTGAATTGATCGGCCCCGTCCAGGTGCATCAGCGGTCGATCGGGACTGATCGGTGTGGTGCCCGGCGCTTGTTGCGATCATTGAGCCACTGTTTACACCTCGGGCTGGATACCCGATTCCACGTGCCCTTTTCGGAGTGTCCCCCGTGACGCCCGACGTCTCGAGCCAGCAGATTGAGCCAGCGAGGCGAAGAATGACGAAGTCCTGGTAGAAGCACTCCAGACATCTTACCAATCCTTAATGTTTGAAATAGACGGTCTGTTCTTAAAAAAAAAAAAAAAGTTACATCATGTAGTATAGCAACTGTATAATATTGACTAGTTATACAAATAGTAGGTAAATTAAGGAGGTTCTGTTTATTTTATTACGCATTTTTTCAAGTACATTGTACCTTTCAACAAGAATAATAGCAGACATATTATGGGGACAAAACGAGAACCTTAAGTAATCAAAATGAAGTGGTCGTTATAGTAGCATTTGCATTGAGAAGACCCTGCTAGCAGCGAGACACTCCCGACTGCCTATTGAAAAAGCATATTGTCGAGATTTGTAGGTTGTAACAATGCAGGGTCAAACATCCAGAGTAATGCTGATTCGAGCGAGGGCTTTCCCAAGATTTCGCGTTCAAGCTCCAAGGCTAAGCCTCACCACGGGCACTTCACTTTGGTGAGATTCTCCCTCGCAGAAGGCAAAAGTGGGTGGGGCAATATCTTGGCATGCCTTTTGCGCAGCCACCGGGCGTGCAGCCGGCAGACCAGGGAATTTTTACGGCTGGTGGTATCTCCGTACAAGGCGACATCGCTTCAGCGACCGCACTCCAAGTCCGACGGGCCCTTCAGTCGGTCATTAAGGGAGAAAACTACGGCTTGTGGCGTCCCCGCGCCACGCAACCACCGCTTTGGCGGTTGCAATTCAGTTCGACGGATCGCTTTGTGCAAGCGGTCATTTAGGGCAGGACAAGCTAGTCCTACCACAGAAATTGTTCCGAGACACCATTATCAAGCAGCAGCCGGAACGGCATAGCCACCGTTGCCGACAAATGACATATCCTGGGGTACGACGACTACGCATTAATTACAAAGTGGATTGACGTTATGGCATCCGAGAATGATACTGGCACGTCAACACGAAATGGAATTGGAGCTATGGTCGTTCGTCAGCTTAAGCAGCTTTTTGTATAGTGAGCGTTTACTTGGTGGGGGGAGTGGTCAAGTATATCGAGACCTGGATTGCAATTCGCGCGACGACACTGACAGCAAATGGTGAGCAAATTGAAGCTTGTGAACGGTTTGTGACCTCGTTTTGTACACCAAATCATGCATGTCTGATGATCAAGCGCTTTTACTTGGTTCTTCAGACGCGACAACAATTGAGGCAGATATTAATCTATCTTGATTGTCAATGTCATCAGATGACATAGTGTTGATGTACAACAAACTCAATGTTGGTCCACAATTACAATAGTTTTTGACATTATGAAAGGTACTACAAGTCCAAGACTGGACTTGTCTAAGGTAGCCCACCAATGGGTTGACAAAACGCGATCAAGCACTTATTAATTAATATAACAATCTCTATGTTCGACTTTACCCAGGAGATTGAGACATTGCTGGTAATATTTATAAAGCCTCAGCCCTGTACTAATGGATATATGTTAACATTTGTATGGTGTAGATGACCGTAAACAAAAATGGCTTCACGAGATGTGTATGGCAATGGGCGACCAGTCTTAAAATTTGAGACAGTGTGACTAGCCAGTGCCATTGGGAAAAAGAGCAGATCCAGATTGCAAATATAAAAAGTACCATTTGTACCAACTGGGAAGCCAACGGTTTAAACCGGACTGGTCCGTTCACATCTTCCAGAATCTCTAGAGATTCACCCTTTATAAACTACTATAAGTAACACTAGGATTTCCAACTAGTGAATCTCAAGGATAAACCTCGCATCCACTAAAACAACTGAATCGCCTTCGATGGCTCTGCCTGCACCTGCGTATTTTCTTACCGGTTTGCTAATCATGTGCTTCCTTCCAACTGCTTAAAAAGCCGTTGCATAGTTTATTCATAGCTGGTCTTACTTCCATTCTTCAATTTCTTCTGATCCTCGCACTCTCTTTCGATTCAAAGAAAGATGAACAAGTTTTTAATACGAGGTCTCGGTTTTTTTACCGATGCTTACGATCTATTCGTCATGAATGTCGTCAACGTCGTACTTACAGAACAGTATGGCAAGCACGTGTACACGTCCAGCATGAAATCGTGGGTCTCTGCAGCAGCTCTCGTTGGTGCCGTCGTGGGTCAAATACTGTTTGGATTTTTGGGTGATGTCTTTGGTCGACGTGTCAATATGATTGCTACGTGCGTGCTCCTTATTCTCGGTGGAATTCTCTGCACAGTCGCTTATGGTGGTACAGCTGAAGCCACGCTGTGGTTTCTGGTGGGTGCTCGATTTATCCTTGGTGTCGGTATTGGGGGTGAGTACCCTTTGGCTGCTTCATCAACGGCTGAAGACGCTACTTGTGTGGCTGATCGTAATCAACGTGTGGCGCTTACGTTTTCTCTACAGGGAGTTGGTTCCCTCACTGCTGCTATTTTTGGCAATCTTCTTATCCAGGCTCTTGCCAGTGGTGACAAGGACATGAACCCTGACTACCGTCTTGAGACGGTGTGGCGTCTACTTTACGGCATCGGTGTCATTCCAGCCATGGTCGTGTGCTACTCACGCATCACGGCAGAAGAAACAGATGCTTACAAAGCTGCTGAGGAACGTCGTCAAGCTGCTGCTGTGGCCAACCCAGCCAGTGCCTCACGTGCTCGTCTCTCGTTCATCATTCGTCACTACGGTGTCCGACTTTTGGGTACTGCCGGCACGTGGTTCCTCTTTGATATTGTGTTTTACGCTCAGAATTTGTTCTCGGCCAGTATTTTGTCCGTAGTTGGTGTCAAGAACGCTTCGTTGCAGGTCGTGACGGCACAAAATGCCTTTGTTGCTCTCATGGCTCTACCCGGGTACTACGTTGCAGTATGCTTTATCAATCGCCTCGGCCGTAAAGTTATCCAGCTTCAGGGTTTTGCAGTCATGACCATGCTGTTCCTGGCACTTGCCATCTTTTGGAATGACATCAAGGAGAAAGCTGTACTCTTCATCATTCTGTACGGTCTTGCTCTCTTCTTCTCCAATTTTGGTCCCAACATGTCGACCTTTGTAATGCCTACGGAGATGTTTCCAACACCGATTCGTTCGACGTGCCACGGTATGTCGGCTGCTGCTGGTAAGGCCGGTGCTGCCCTTGGTTCGTTTGGTTTCTCCATTTGGGTCGAGAATGAAAACTTTGGCTACAACGGTGCCTTCTACACCTTTGCTGGTATCACACTGGTGTCGATCTTGCTTACGTGGTTTTGCACTTTCGACAATGAGCAGGGCTTTGACGAAATGGACGCTGATTTTTACCAGAAGTTGCATGGTGCTGATAACTTTACACGTGAGTCCTTTAGTTCAGTTGTCAAGCTGTACGATTTAGACAAGGAAGGAGGGTACAAGTCCACTTCAACTCCACAGTAATTTGAAGTGCTCACAATTGCTACATGTAAGCCAAGAAGTATTGATTCCTACACCTTCCGAGTTTGTACAGTATGTTAATGGTATCCCGGGCACATGATGTCTTTGGTAACTTGTACAGCCTCAATAGAACAAAACGCTACAGGAATGCCGTAGTGGTAAGCACTAGTTATTGTACGAAACCTTGTACGTCTTCGAAATTGTCGAGCGCATTGAAAACGAAGCCGCAAGTTCACTTGTTCAGTCAATTACAATGCTTGCCTGCCATTGACGAGGCTCCTGATTACTGAATTCTTTGTCCTGCGCGTCCTTCGACACAAACGAGTCGCAAGTAAGTTGTCCACGACGTGGTAGAGCTTCGCAACCATTTCTTGATCAGCGACTTGTACAAGACCAGTGACCAAAAAGCACTGTCATAGCCGAAACTCTCGGTGTCGGCAATCATACCGACAAACTAATGAAACCGATGGCGAGTTTGGTCGTGAGAAAGACGGCACAGATTGCGACGAAGCTGAGAACTCGACGACCTCTGCGGAACGTAACACACATGTGTATGCTACGCTTTTTTCGTTGCAATGAGTGCGTCACGTAGTTGCTGCCAAGTCATCCAACTTTCAAGCACAAGCTATGGCTGATGCTAAATTTTGCGAGAACAATGGCAATCGCCTTGAAAGACTTTGTGGTGTCTGCTGTTCGCAACCTGCTGCGACCTGGCACGTGGATATTGCAGGCTATATCGATCACACACGGCAATCGAATCTTCCCTGCACCAGTGGTAGCATAATCGCTGCAGCGTCTGCCTTACTTTAGCGTTCATCATTTTCCTGGGGCTGAGTATGCATGCTGGTTGCAATGACTTCTTCACCTTGCCTTCTAGGACAACGGATCCGCATGTATAGCATGCATTCTTGACAAAGATCTTCGAGCGCAACACTCGATGGGCTATTGCAACACAGATAAGGGACTGGTCATCTCATTAGACCATCGCATCACACCGTGCCATTGGATGTGGTATGTCTTTCGACATTATGACCAGCAAATTCCACAATACCTCGCCACAAAAAAGCTCTTAAGGCTCGCTGCAGGTATGTGATGATAAAGTGTTGTCGATAGGTGACACAATTACATCTTGAGATGCACGTGGCGACAGCAAAACGTCTGCATCAGATCAAAAACAGCACCGTGACCATAGCGAAATTGCGTATGTTCTTAGGCAAACCAGTACCGCCCGTTCCAATCCGCCACCATATCGTAGTACTGCTGTCGTTGCTGTAGTAGCATTACTTCTTTCGGTGCGAGGTCCAATGTTGTCACGTTAAATGGACAAGTCTGTAGCAGCTTTCGGTCTGTGAAGGATCCTGGATAGTGCTTGGCTGGCCGAGCAGCCGTGCGGTACAAGCGGCGAGAATCTCGACCCCACTCCAAAATATTATTGCTATTCATGTAAAGCGGCTCAACGTCTGCTCTGGGCCCCTTGGTCGGATCCAGCTGCACTGGGTAGTGCTGCAGTGCATCTCCGCATAACACACCGTCATTTTCATGACCAATAGTGACAAGATCCCAGCCTACAGCACCAACAGCAAAATCCGAGAAGGCGTATGCAGTCTCAGCAAGCTCGCACGCCAGCCAATACAGCTCCTTGTCACCATAAGATGGCGCGGTTGGTAATCCATCCAGTGAAATGAAAGATGCCAAGATGACTGTCGCACGAGCTTGACGTGCTTTGTTCCACAACAGCAGCGATGAGTCCATCTGATGGCCACTACGTAGTTTCCAGACGTGCGAGTTTAGCAAAAATGAACTAGGTTGGAAACCAAACTCGAGTCCTAAGAGACGTTTTGAGAGCTGAGGCCGCAACTCACCGTCGTCAACGGTCCTAAATGGACGATACGGAGTGACATCGAAACCTGCCAAGAATTGATGCAGCGCTCCAACACTGGTATGAACTTGCAGCTTTTCATCAGAGACCATTCTCTTGGCCAAATACGACAAGTCGTAGCTGATTCGATCGTTAAAAAACAGCGTCCCCGTGTTCTTGTATTTACTGGTCTCCCACAACGACATTGGACTCTGGAAAAACAAGGTGTCTGCATCCAGCAACATGATTTCTTCAAACCGAGAGTACACAAGTGCGAGCACTTTAATGTCAAAACTCTGGAATTTGTCATAACAGTGTGCGAGGTCCACACAAAAGAGGGGTCGTGTGTCTGTTTGTGCATTGACTGCCAGGTCACAAACGTCTAGGAATTTCACATTCTCGTGCTGCTCGAGTACTTTGCGTTGAAATGTCACACTCAAATCTCCACAGTGTGGAATTTCCACTGGTAGTGTCACTTGTAGACGACGTAGCTCCAATATGAGCGATAACCCTAAGAAAGCAATACCATCAAATAATGGCAAGACAATTCCACGTCGATTCAGAGGATCAAAGTGCTGCGTCTCAAGCCACAGACGATTTCTAAACGCTTTGATTTGTTCCGATGGTAATGAAGCCATTTGCCATCCTAAACGACGATAGTACACCATGATATTATGCCAAAGTATTAACAACTCATAGAGTATGAATACTATAGTACATGATATGATGAAGCGACAATTGCGGTGACAGAATAACCACACACGTGTCCTCCATCGATGCCAGCGAGGGCGACGCGGAGTATCATACGCTCCTGGTAGCATTTTTAGCTTTAATATATTAGATGGTTGTACTATCCTATATATGACTTGTTAGCTACATAAAAATATTAATGGCAAAGTACTATTTACGGCCAATACCATGGGGACGTCTCTTCGAATGCATATGTACCTCTAGTCGCTAGTTTGCTACGATGTTCCTCTTCTTCTCATTCTGTATTGCTGTCTTGACGAAAAAGTCCCAGGTTTGATTGAAAGCAGCTTGATGAGTGTCTTTTATCCAGCTTTGCAGTTCCATTTTGAGAAAATGTTTATCCTTGGATGTACTCCATTTCGCAACAAGTGCTCGACGTGATGCGACACCATTCCGCTGCAATTTAGCAACCAGCAGCTGAATCTTCTTGTCAAACTTCTTACGGATCAACGTGTGACTTGACTCCTTCAAAGCAGCCGAGAACGGGAGCAAACCAGTAATGACCTGGCCATCCAGCAAAAATTTGGCAAACCATCGATACTTACCAGCCAAACCATCCGAAGCCACTTCATCCGGATACAGAATTCGCATCGCTGGCAGAGACCACTGATGAATGCCATACTGAGCTTTCGCGTAACACTGAACCTCGTCCGATGCTGTGTCGTAGAACGGTGCAGGTTCCGCAAGCGGCGGTGTGTACTTGCACAACGGTGTGTTTTTGCCAATACTCGCAAGCCACTGCGGCTCAACAGCAGTCACCATCTTCATGTACGCACGAGTAGTACGCATGATATGCTGATACACGACAAACTCTGGCAGTTTGGTCGGGTTCGGCGTAAAGACAGACGAGTGAGGGTGGATGTACACAGGCTCCCTCACATTACCAGTTGCAGCGACATACGCGCAGTTTCGCTCGATCTTTGTACCTTCCGTGATAGTGCCCGCTGGCACACGCTTTGCTACTTGGTCCAAGAACCCAGCGGCCACGATTTGCCGCAAAACACTCTGAGTCTCAAAGTCGGGAGGTGGCATCTTAGGCTTGAGCACGACAGCTGTAAAGCCTTCTTCCTCCGTGTAAAGCTTGTTCACAATTCGCGTCAGTTGCTGGCGCAGCTTCAACATATTTTGCATCGTCTTCTCATGAAGGTGATTATCCTGGCAAAACTGACTGCTGCCACCAGTATAAGCATAGGCACCAGCGGCACGCAGTAAGCTCAGTACATCACTTTCTTGGTCGACCCACTGCGCATGCTTCCGCATTTCCTCGGCCTCTTGCCACTCCTTCTCCATTTCTTCAAGCTCATTTTTCTTTCCATCGCCAACCTCTTCATCTTCTGCACCCTTCTCCTTTTCACGACGATCCAAAGCGTGAATGAACGGCGAATGGCCGGAAAGGCCGGCGACGATAGCAATTGTATACTCAACAACGTTCAGCTTCTGTGCAAGGAGCAGCATCTTTGCAAACCGTGCGGCGACCGGAAACTTCACGAGAGCACGGCCTAACCCAGTGATAGACTCGTCGTCACGTGGAGAAACGGCACCCAAATTCACCAACGTTGCAAGTGCATTCTTCACAGCCTGGTGGTCTGGAGGTGTTGGGAATGGGAATTGCAGAACATTGTGAATGCCCATGGCTTTCATCTGAAGCACCAGATCGTCAATAGGTTGACACAGAATTTCTGGTGAAGAAAACTTTTGGAACTCTGTATCATACACTGCGGAAGAATACAAGCGGTAGCAGTGGCCTGGACCAGTACGACCGGCACGACCAGCCCGCTGGTCAGCGCTGGCCTTCGAAATCCACTGGACATCAAACGAAGAAATGCCGTTGGCAAGATCGAAGACACGTTCCTTTGTACGTCCAGCGTCTACGACATACTTAATACCAGGGATGGTCAACGATGTCTCCGCCACGTTAGTAGCAACAACAATCAGCCGGTGGTTCTCCGGCGGCATATCGAATACTTTCATTTGCTCATCATTGGGGAGCAGAGAGTATAACGGAAGCACATGCATATAGGCCACTACCAGATCATCTTTCATGTCTTCATCTTCGTCATCTTCCTTGTCAGACGCTTCCTCTTCGTCTTTCAGCTCATACGCTGCATCTTCATCATCAACTTCATTGCCGTATACTTGAGCATCCTCCAAGTCGGCCTCTTCTTCGATGTCATCGTGCTCTCGGAGAAGATGGTCCTTGCTACTCACCGCTTGCCTTTGCCTTCGCTGTGCACGAAATGCTTGGCTAGACTTCAGCGCCGCAGCCTTTTTGTCTTTTGCAGCGACAGAGTACGAACGGCTGAGTTTGCGACATAATTGCAAGATCTCTCGCTGGCCTGTGAGGAACACAAGCACACCACCCTCAGGCAGCTTCTTATGGATTTTAACTACCTTCTTGTAAGCCTCTTCCACGTAATTATCCAGCTCCGTGCGCTTGTTAAAATGTATCGTCACAGGGTATTGTCGTGCATCTACGCGAAGCACAGGTGGCGAAGTCGGGAACAAGCGATGGTTTTGTGTGAAGTCCTCCACGCGCAGGGTAGCAGACATAATAACAAGCTTAAGGGGCTTAATAGGCTTCCCAGCAATCTCCTTCTCCTCTTTCGACAGCAGTTTGTACTCTTCTTCCTCCTCCCGCGACATTTGAGCTCGCAGTGGAGCGATGCGGGACAACAGACCAATCAGAATATCAGTATTTACGTTGCGCTCGTGAGCTTCATCCAGAAGAAGAATCGAGTACTGACGCAGCAAAAAGTCTTGTTGAATCTCTTTCAGCAAAATGCCATCAGTCATGAACTTGATGCGCGTATGTTCACTCACGTGTTCAGCATCGTATCGGATTTGGTAGCCGACATGGCCCTTAGGCGCACCAAACGGCACGTTAAGCTCCTCAGCAACGCGCTTGGCGGTGGAGACGGCAGCGACACGACGTGGTTGCGTGACACCGACGCGTCCGCTATTTGTTGTGTGATCCGGGTGGCCATAACCAGCTTCGTACAAAAATTGTGGCACTTGCGTGGTTTTACCACTTCCCGTCTCACCACACAAAATAATCACATCATTTTCAGTGATAGCCTCCATGATTTCCTGCTCGGAGCTGCACACTGGAAGTTGCATACGTGCCATTTGGATCTCGGGCTTTCGCGAGAGCGTGACAAGAGTAGTCTTGTACGACATCTTCGTCTTCTCACTCAGCTCACGCACTTCCTCGGCGGTCTTCATCACGATCGGCTTCGGTACATACACATCCGCTCCATCCATTGCTGGTTCTTCTTCTTTCTTGACAGCAGTCGCACCTTCACTCTTAGCAGCAGCCAGCTTCTTTTGCCGGCGCTTTTCCTCATTCTTCTTGCGTAGAGCTTCTAGTTTAGTCATAGCAGCACTCTGTGAGCTAGCACACTTAGATTCTTCCTCAATATCTTCTTTTTCGATTGCTATCTGCTGAACAGCCACAACAGAAGCTGCTGTATCGATGTCCTTAGGTTCTTCAACTCCTTGTACCGGCAGCATCGGTACAGAGCGACTAACCACTGCTACTTTTTTTTGCGACGCTTTCTCTTACCGCCTTTTTCTTGAGTAACATCCTCAATCATCGCAGTCTTATCAGTCTTGACAACAGTCAATGTAGCAACAGTATCATCTGCCTGTTCCTCATGTTGCGTCACGTTTATCTTCTCGCTCTTCACCTCCACCAGCTCCTCGTCATCTTTCTCCTCCTCCTCCTCCTCTTCTTCCTCTTCCTCACTCCTGTTTGTCTTCTTCAATAGTTCATTCATTGCATCCTCCGAGATTGCAATTCCTGCTTTTTGTCGATTCATTGATCGTTTCAGACGTTCTCGCAACGTCTCCTTGTGTCCCATTTGTGACGTGCTGTACATGAGTTTCATCTGATCTTGTGACAGTTGCTGCTTCTCCAACGACTTGTAAATGTCCGCACGTCTTGCCTCTTTTATTTTCTTGGCAGCAATTACCTCCATCTTCTTCCGTTTGCTCTTGCTCATCTGTTGAGCTTGTTGCAGCAGTTCCTCGGACATTAGTTCCGTCTTTTGCTTCTTTTCACGATGCCCCGGCAACACGAGCGCACCACCAGCATCTTCTCCACCCATTTTTTGCACTAATTCAGCTGAAAGAAGCCCTGAACACTCAGTAATAGCAGTAAAAACAGCATTTTCCGGCTTCAGAGATACACCATCTTGCTCCGTATTCGCATGACATTTCTGTGTCTCCTGCTGGACATTATCACTTCGTTCTTGCACGTCCAGCACCTTCTTGATCTGAGCTTTCTTCTTTACCTTGGCATGACCACTCTGTTTACGTTTCTTGGCCGCCATCGTCACACAAACACGGTCAAGATCGCAACGTCTGTTCAATCGACAATGGCTGCACCACCACCAGCTCAGCGATGAAAGCGGTACACGGTACCACTATCGCTGCTTATATAATTCACCAATCAAAGAATGGATATGATTTAATTGTTATTAACCAATCAAAACGATTCATTATTTGACTGGAGCGCTTTTCCAAAACGACTGGAGCTCATGAACTCAGTTCATTTCCAGCGTCGTTCTACCTTTTGTTCTACCTTTTGTTCTACCTGTAAAAAGCATGCCCACCAAGCGCGTAAAAGGCAAGAAAAAGCTCAAGTCTATCAAGGCAAAACAGACCGATGGAATGGGTAGTAAGCGTCGATTGGCCAAGTTTGGTAAAGAACAGCGCAAGGGCATGCGAGGTGCAGCTGCCAACTACATTACACGCAGTCAAGCACTAAAACGACTGCAAGTTTCGTTGAAAGATTTTCGTCGTCTTTGTATTTTAAAGGGAATTTATCCACGTGAACCAAAGAAAAAGGTCTCTGGGAAAGATAAAACGTATTATTACATTAAAGACATCATGTTCTTGGCCCATGAACCAGTTCTCGACAAGTTTCGAGCATTTAAAACGTTTATGAAAAAAGTGACGAAAGCAATGGGTCGAAAAAACTATGAAGATGCCAAGCGGAAACATGACAATCGACCTACTTATGAGCTGGATCATATTGTGAAAGAACGGTATCCACGCTTTATTGATGCTCTTGGAGATTTGGATGATGCCCTTTGTCTTGTTCATTTGTTTGCTCTTATGCCAACGGGGAATGGAATTCATGCAGAGGTTACGAGCATGTGTTTACGTCTTGTGCGTGAATGGCAGAATTATATTGTCGTGACGAGAGGACTTACAAAGATCTTTGTAAGCATTAAGGGGATTTACTACCAGGCTAATGTACAAGGTCAAGTCATTACGTGGTTGGTGCCACATCAATTTACTCCTACAGTTGACAAACGAGTGGATGTAAGAGTTATGCTTACGTTCTTGGAGTTTTATGAAGTGCTACTGAAGTTTGTCAATGCTCAATTGTACATGCAAATTGGCGTAGCTTATCCTCCTAAAATCAATTTGCAGCTTGATTCAGCCGGTGCTCAACTTGCTGCGATTGAACTGGAGAGAGCAAAAAATGAGGAGACGAAAGATGTTGATGAGAAGGTGGATGATGATGGCGCTGACGCTTGTGAGGATATTTCCCAGCAGCAAAAGGAATCTGAAAAGCGGATCAAGACTCTTGGCGGTGCTATTGCAAAGTACGAGACTAACCCTGTGAAAGAGTACGATGAAGATGAAGACGAGACTACATACGGCGAGATGAGTGAGCCGCTTGAGGCTGCCTTTGCGTCGAACGAGCTGGCCGCGCAGATTTACAGCGAACAGCGTAAAGAGCGCAGTGAAAAGAGTCTGTTCAGTGGTCTGACCTTCTTCTTGTCTCGAGAAGTTCCTTCGGCTTGTTTGGAACTGGTGCTGCGCTCGCACGGCGCCGCTTTGGGCTGGGACGGCGCTGGATCTCCCTTTGATGAGAAAAACACGCGCATTACGCACCACGTAATGGATCGTCCTCACCAGGGTCACCGCTACTTCAATCGCGAGTATGTGCAGCCGCAGTGGGTGTTTGACTCAGTGAACAATGGCATTTTGCTTCCTCTGGCTCGCTATGTGCCTGGTGCAGAGCTTCCACCTCACCTGTCCCCTTTCGTGGATGACGGACAGGAGGGCTACACCCCTGAGTACCGCAAGGAGCTGGAAAAGCTCAAATCGGCCAAGCAGGTGCTGCACGAGGTTGGTGCCGCTGGCGTCGAGGACTCTGAAGAGGAGGATGCTGAGGAGCAGGAAGAGGTTTACGCTGCTGACCTCAAGGCTGAGGCGGATGGCAAGACTGTTGAAAAGGAAGGCAACGACAGCGAGGAGGAGGAGGAGGAGGAGGAGGAGAATGAAGAAGAGGAGAGTGACAAGGAAGAGAAGGTTGAGGTGAACAACGACGACGAGAAGGTGAAAAAAGAGGAAGAGAAGTCTTCTCTCAAGCGCAAGTCGGACGTGGCAACCATAAACAAGAAGACGAAGCGTGTCAAGAAGGAGGAGGAGGCCGCAGAGCTCAAGGAGCTAGCCAAGACCATGATGTCGAAGAAGGCCAAGCGTTTGTACGACCGTATGCAGTATGGTCTGGGCAAGAAGGCTGACAAAATTCAGAAGCTCGAGGACAAGCGTGTCAAGCTGGAGGCTGAGAAAGAGAAGAGCAAGGAAGTTGAGACCTTGGCCAAGGAGGTCTCCAAAAAGCGCAAGCGGAAGACCAAGGGCAAGAGCGCTAATTAGACTTCAATACAATGTTTCTTCCCATTATTTGGCTCTCTGACGTAACGACCAGGTGGCAATCAAACAGTTATGAGCGGTTCGTAGAGATTCCTCACACACGCCCTTGAGTACACTAGACATAGCTCCAACATACATAGTAAGCACCCGCATAAACAAGAAAATGATACCATGAATGCGCTGCCACATTTCAAGAGGAAAGATATTATCTTGCTACTTTCCAAAGAAACGAGCTATTAGCTTCCCTCCATCGCCTATGTTCCAGACAAAGCAGCTGCGACAGCAGCCGCAAGGAAAAGAAGGACAAGAACCACTGCCACGACAATTCTCGCTTGCTCCACCAATTCCTTTCTCTCGAAAAGCTACAAGAGAGGAAGCATCCATGTCTGCCACCCACCATTTGATCAACCCACAGCTACAGCCAGACTGGGACAATACGCGGCGAGGATGGCCATTGTGACAGACTTAGGTGGTGACTTTTTTCTTCTTCTTCTTGTTCTTCTTCTTCAACGAGGTAGCAAGAATCTTGGCCGTCTCCTCATCGACAGTCTTGTCCGAGTGAACACGGTCACTTGGGAATGCAAGACCCGTAATCTTGGTCGTGCCACTGGGAAGCAGCAACACTGTCACCTTAAAGTGAGCCACCTTGTCACCAGGACGAGCCTCCAAGATCGGATAGGCTTGCAGCAAATCATGCTTGACACACTCGACCACACCCATACGAGCCTGACTTTCATCCTCAAAAGCTCGAATCGTGAATGGCAAGGTCGGAAATTTCTTGTTAATCTCCTTAAAGACATAACGGGACGCCTTCATCTTAAGACGATACTGTTTGTCCACTTGACGTTTAAACACCGTTGTCCGACGTTCACTTGTCACAGGTTTGTCACTTCCCGTAGTGTAGCACACATCAATTGTGTACACTTCATGAGGTTCAAACGTAACTTTTGGTGTCCGATTCTCAACGTCCATTTTTTGAGCAATCATCTTATTGCCATCAATAACAAACCGTTTCAATTGATGCATGAGCGTTCCCTGAAGACTCTTGACCCCATACGATTCTCCCAATCGTGTCAACGCTTCCGTCACTTGCAAATTTGTATTACCAGGTTTAATCAGTCTCGTACAAAGTTCGACTGCATCATGAGCACATTTCAGTACATTCGCTTCGTCGCCTTCAAGGTCCGGAAAATCCGCGTCAGCAGCTGTGCCTTCGATTGGGACAATTGTCGTGTGGGCCACAACCGCCACGTACCCATCAATATGACAGCCAAGATCAATTTTCACCCAATCACCGGCCTTTAACGTCATACTTTCATTCACTAGAGGGGAATAATGACAAATGATTTCATTGGTCGAAATAGACGTTGGAAACGCCACCCCTTTGTCAATTTTCTTGTTTTTAAAGATTGTACCACATCGTTGCGTTACAATCAAGTCACCAAATTGACACAATTCCACGACATTTTTCCCCGCTGCCACTTGAGATAACACCCCTTCTAAAGCCGATTGTACAATCTCAGCAGCGAGACGATATTTCGTCACCACATTGGAATTACTACAATCTTCAATCTCTTGTAATGGTGTCGTCACAACGTCGTCTTGTTCTTCTTCTTCTTCTTCTTCCATGTCACTTAAACTACGTTCATTTATAAAAGACGGCATTGTTCGACTACTTTTTCACTTGAAAACTGTAAGAAGCTATTGACTCGAAGAGAGAGGGGGGAGAGAGAGAGAGAGAGAGAGAGCGGTTGTGAACCAGTCAGTGTTTGAGATCTGTGATAGGGTAGAGTTACTTCAGTACCCCTAGTCGCTTACTTTTAGTCTTTTGAGCTTGTATAAAAATAGGAAAAACAAGATTTTGGACACGCATGACGGAGAAAATTGTACCCAATTCGGTTGGCTGGTACATTCTCGAAGGCCATCCCTGGTGGCCCGTTTACATTTGTGACGTCACCAAGCTACGTCCTGAATTGCATTTACTTGGTAACGGTCATCGAAAAATCCTTAAAAAAGCACGTGATTTTCCAGCCCATTACATTGTCGTTTATTATTTTGGGTCCCATGATTTGTACGTCCAAAATAGTGACAATTTGTCAAAAAAGCATCGTCCAAATTGTCCAAAAGCATCGTCCAAATTGTCCAAAATAGCATCAAACGGTTAAAATCGCACTACTTACTCCTCATTTCCATGTTGTTTTTTATTTTTGACAGTTCTCTTGTTGGTCTCAAGAAAGGCGTGTTACGACCATGGGAGTGTGCAGAAAAGAATCAGTTTCTAAAAGGACATCCCAAGCATTTGGTCAAGAAAAAAGGCGTGATTGAAGAGCTCCTGGACGCTGTACACGAGGCGGAAGAGTATTTATCTCAGCCAGAGGATGTTCGTTTACCTCAATATATGGTCCCATCGGATTTGGACCCGACATTGGAACCACCACCGGAGCTTGTGCCATTGGAAATGGACGAAGAAGGAGAAATGATGGACGTGGACGATGCAGAAGAAGGAGGAGAGGAGAAGGAAGAAGAGGAGGAATTTGAAATGGAAAAGAAGAAGAAAATGAAGAAAATGAAGAAAATGGACGAGAAAAAACGGAAACGAAGTGGCGAGCTTACGAGTGCATCAGCTGCAAAAGTTTCTAAACTGTCACATGAAAGTCAAGTCAAAAGTGAACATGGGACGGAGAAGAAAAAGGAAAGTAGTGAGAAGAAACCACCTCCAGCTGAGATGACGACAGAAGCACTGAGCATTTTGTTGGAAAAAGAAATCCGCTGGATTCTTGTGAATTGTATCTTTGAGGAAATGACAACAAAGACAGTGAGAAAGTTGCTTGAAGATCGTCTGAAGATGGATTTACGTCATCATAAAGCTTCGATCAAAGAAGGTGTCGCACGGGTGATCATATCCATGGAAGAAGAGGATGCAGGCGACTCTTCGTCGACAATTCCGGAAGAATTTACTGCTGCATCGATAGAGGATGTAGTGCCGTCTGATGTCAAGGTCGAGAACGAGACTGCTGTGCTTGTCACGCCTGAAGCCGTGGTGGAAAAAGTGGACGTTGCAGCTAAGGAAGAAGCTGCCCGTATTGAAAACTTCGAAAGCACCAAGAAGGAACTAGAAGCAGCATCAAAAAACCTGTCGTTGGCTTTAGAATTAGAATCGAAGATCATTGACGTTTTAAATTCGCTGAAGAGTTTGGACAATGTCGACGAAAACGTGCTGGCTGCGTCAACTCTCCAGCCTCGACTTGTGAAACTAAGAGCCCACCCGTCATCAAAGATCTGCGAGCTTGTGGGTTATTTGGTGAAGAAGTGGGACGTCGAGGAGTTAGTTCCAGCACCCAAACCGATCACGAAGAAAGAGATTCTGGATCTTAAGGCGAAGTTGGAGAACTCGGAAACAATTCATGACGAGTTATTGATGACCTTAAACCAGCTGGGCGAGGTGCGTTTGCTGTGTGATAGGCTCGTGTAGTTTGTTACGACAATTTTTTGAACTCGCTTTTTTGTAGATGGCCGTGACCATAGATCATTTAAAGAAAACGAGAATTGCACGCGCAGTGTCCAAGTTACGCCAGCACGGGTGTGTGTCATTACCATTTAAAATCGTGCTGGTTGTGGGTTTCTGATGGAAGGTGGTACTTCTTGACTTGTAGCAATGACAAAGTTTCTGCCAAGGCACACGAGCTTCGGCAAAAATGGATCAAACAGTTAAATGAACAGCCCGCAGACAGTGGTTGGTTCTATCTCATGATGGCTGATGGTTTCTTAGCCACTAACTGTTTTGCTTTTCGATTTACAGATTCGGGCTCAAATCCACTCAAGACTCTCAAAACTCTGAACCGCATCTTGGAACAGCAGAGTGATGGCACAGACGAGCAGAAGCTTCAAAGTAAGCAGTTGGCTGCGCTTGAACAGCTTCATAGCATGTCGCTAGATACAAAGGACATTATCGATTCCAAGGTTGGCATTCCTGTGTCCAAGCTACGCAAGTCGAGGTATTTATCTACAGTCTTCATGTGCATTTTTCTTATGCTTAAGCTAATTTGTGATTCTACTTGGTCTGTCTGTTTGACAGCAACGAAAAGGTAGCAAAATTAGCAAAGAAGCTTCGAAAGAAGTGGCAAGCTGAAGCCAAGGCTTAGACGATGTGATCCATTCTTGTCATTTCCGACGAACCGCCGTCATCATGTTCGAGACGAGTTTCAGGCAAAAAACTACATGATCGTAGCAATGGTGCTTCCATTAGAGTGACGTTTCTGGGGCACCTTTGGTGTGTGATGTCACTCTAAAGCTCCTTTGCGTAAGCGTGATTGTTGTGCAAGTTTGGCTACATGTTCTGCGATGCATATTACGACACCCTCTCGATACCGTTGCAGCTTTCAACAAGCAATACTTTTTGGTTATTGGAGCTATTTCGTCTCTCGTGGCAACTACACTGGGTTTATGTGGTGCTCGATTCTTCATTGGTCTTGTCGGTTGTTTCTTCATTGCTACAAATTGGCTGGCGTAACCTCGGTGCAGCGCTGCTACAGTGATCACCACACCCTAGGATCTCAACCTTGTGAGCTTTAGCGATCAACATAAGACGACAAGTGGCTCTCTTTTATTGAGCTCTCTTGATGCTTGTCACCAGGTGAAGCGCTTTCGGTTGTCTTTAGAAACAATGCAAGGATCTGTGCAAGACCACATTGTTTTCTACGTACAAGCTTGCACTGCCATCACATAGAACATCGTCCCCTCATGCATTCCTCTGGTCTTCACCAAGATCACATCAGGTTTTACTCTGGCAAGTGAGAACCTCAATGGATTCGAATCTGCTTCTCTCGATGGTGGACATGGACGGAGATTTACGTGCACAAACAACTACGGCTATCATCAACTAGTGAATGACCGCACAGTAGTAAGAAAACGACTGCAAGGTCAACCCGGCCAGCATTCCGTCGCTTTGATTCGACTGCTTATCACAAGAGAAGTTACGTGACAGAGTCTGCTGACTCAGTCAGCAATTGACAATCGACTTGGTGTATTGCTGCCATTAGGCAGGAGAACTTTCAGCAACGATACAAGTGGCGACATAGAAGTACAAGTGCTCATTGTTTTTGCTTATGACTATGCGCGAGCAATTTGGCTTGAGGGAATGGCAAGAACTTGCAATGAAGAGAAGGCACACATGCCACAACGCAATAACGACCTTGAGTTTGAAGAATGCCGGAAAAAGGCGGAGAGTGTATCTACAGCCATGCACTGGCATGGTCGGTTGTTCCGTCAGTCTCGTGGGCGGCAAGCAGGACTGCAGACTCTCGCTGCGTCGGGCTCTTACTGGGCGATGACAAGTTGTCTGGAGCTTGCAGTGGCTCGAACGTGTTAAGGCTAAAGAACGCAGACCGCAACGCTGGTACAACAACTGCAGTCGAAGCTAAAGTTCCTGAGCAAGTAGAGAGACTTGGTTCCAGGCGGCGACGTTTGTTGACATTGGTAGTCGATATCTCCGCTTGAGACAGCCATTGTTCGCTAGTGTACAATGGTCGCAGCAGCCCGTCTTCGATTGCGGTCGGACTCGAATAGTACTCGTCGATGAAAGCTGGGATGGTGCTATTGTCATCCTGCAGTAGCTGGTCCAGTCTATTGGTGCTGTTGAGCTGAAAGGACGAACGCGGTGAAGTCGACGACAATGCTCGTGACGTCGCGGCTAAAGCTGACAGATTATTTGGAAAAAGTAGAGGATCAAACCCGTTGTTGCGATCTCCGGACTGTGGTGTTTTCCACTGCCGCGGCGTGACAGCAGGAGTCATTGAAGCGTTTGATTGAAGTGTGGACCGGCCAGAAGCATCAACGTTTGACTGCGTTCGAGGGTGTCGAGGTCGTTGAGGTCGTTGCACTGGTTGGGATCGAAAAATGGCGACTCCTGCAGCTTTAACTTCAGCCTTGATAGCAGCGCGTGACTGTTTTTGAAGGTACTTTTGTGCATGAGTGCGTATCTGCACCAATGTACGTGTGTGCACAAGACTCGAGATCTTTTTCCACGACTTGCCGAAGCGTTGCAGACCTTCTAGAAAGAGTTCGTGTTCCCTCTTGGTCCAGCGTCCGACTTGCGTGTTACTAGGGGTGTCAGGCATGTGCATTTTGGGCCGGTCAAACGTCTTGATGCCATAAGGTCGCATAATGGTAAGCGGAAAAGCAGTCGCCATTGGTGACATTGTCGTGAGCGGAAAGGAGACTGGAGATAGTAGTGAAGATGCTTGATGCTTTTGGTTCGTGGAGGTGATCTTTAATGGAGTCGGACTAAGATGATGTTGTGATACAGGAGGCCGCGTTGAATACGATCGTGGAGGGCCATTGGATGTTGATGTTGAAGCGTAGCTGGACGTCGAAGGATACGTGATCGGCATTGCAACTCCTCGTGGTTCGACCGTTTGGGGGTCGTCGAAGTTTATATGAACTGGAAGGGTGCATTGGGTGAACTCTTTAGAATTGTTGGCCAAGTATTCGTCCCAGATGGGACTTGTGCAGGTTTCAACACCAGTTGACGGCACGAAAGGGACCGGAGATGGCGGAGATTGGGACGGACTGGACTTGTAAGGTGACGCCATCGAATACCGACAAGTTGGCTGAGATCCGGACACGAACGAAACTTTCACAAACTGATGGAGATGTAGCTGCCCTGAGTCAAACTGAAGACAAAAGGTAGTGCCTTCCCCCCCCCCCCCCCTCCCCCCGAGACAAGACGAGACGAGACGAAACTTAGAAGATATGCCGTGCACGAAGTATGCGAAGCAAAGAGTCCCACTTGCGACGGTTGGGCCAAGTTGTTGCAAGACGTCTCACTCTGGCAGTTACCACGTGGGCTCGTACGTAGCACGAATTCCTGCCATAACTGCCTACAATCTATGAAACTATCGGACAAGGCTCTGTCGATGATTCATGACAGAACAATTGCGAAACGCTCTAAAACACGTCACGAAACGCATCGTGTCAACTGAACTGCAATTGGAGCTGAAGAGGTAAATAACTTTGGAACCGACGGCTGCCGAACGACAAGAACACACTCTTATGGCGGCGAACATGGTAGTGAGCTACACGATCATAGTCGTTTGTCAAGGTGTCACATCAGTTTGATGACAAACGCATCGAGTCCAAGAAAAGTTATAAAGTTGGACATGAGACCATATCCAGATCATTCGTCACCCTTTGGCTACTGACGAAACATCTTGTAAGTCTGAGTCGCACTAGAACGTCCGGGATTGGTAAGTGAGTCATGTCAGGCGTCATGGTGCACTGTGCAAGCGAAATCAACGTGCATGTACTATGATTACTAATGTTTGTAGCCACCTTAGCACAGGTACCCGTGTGCAGGATAAAGCTCTTTACTTCCAGACACATCTCGCATGTTACTGACACTTTTTGTGCTCCATGTCCACGGTTGCATTGCACTGCTCCAGACCGAGGAAAACAAATGGATCGACAAGGCATCGTGCATACACAAATCGTGTGGCCGTGGAGATAAAAAATGTCAAAGCGCAAGCACGAGGACAATGCTGAACGGGGTTCATCAGCAGTTCGATCGCAACTAGCAACGGCACATCAGCCGTCGTCGCTTATATTGCACGTTACCAACCACCAACTAAACACGAGAGCCCACTTGAATCTGACCACCGACATGGTCAAACGTTTTGGTCACTCGTCGCAGTCCTTTAACCAGAAGTATCTCCAAGATCCATATCGCCGCCTTGGGCTTTCCAAAGGTATCTCGCCATATGCCAATGTGGCCGAAAGCGTTCCACGTCAAGGAAGTGTTATAAGTCACTCACGATCGCATCTAAATCGGTGGACGGAAGAGCGAGAGCAAAGATGTTGATCTTTATCGCTGAACAATCCAACATGAACCCGTGTAGCCTGTTGTCCGACCGTCAGCTGATGCTGCCCAGTCTTCCCCACCATGCTGCTTTATAGCGCCACGTTGCGGCAGATCGAAGCATCGTCGACTGGACAAGCGACAAAGGCTGCGTTCTCGGAAGACTTTCGGGTTCATCGCCGTGCAGTCGCTTTCAGATGCAGATCATGCGATGGCACACTCTTTTCGACCTCGTGCTCTTGTTCTCTGGACCGAAAGTCACTTCATTCATGCGGAGCGCTACGCCATCAAGGTAAGTTAGTCACGGTCTGCACTATCGGAGCTTGTTGATAGAGTGACGAAATAGTACTCGACTGCTTCCGTGCTGCTGCATCCTCAACGTTCGTCTCGTGTCTATCCAAAGACACCATCCACATTGAACATGTGATGGGCTTCATTGAAGAACGAGAGTCAGACGATTCTTGGGATGCCTTGTACGAGCTCACGACATGACCATTGTTTATGGTTTCCACATGGGAGACAACGCATGAACGAGTCGTCGCATGTCGTCACAAGGATGTTGAAAGCTTCCGCTTTTTTCGTGACACTCTTCTTCTTGTTCAAATACGACGATTGCTATGCTGAGCCTGATAAGATGCACCTACTCTTTACTGTCAGCCGTGGTAGTCAACTTATCTTGCTTGGTCGCGTCAAAGCAGTTGCTTGCGTTATTTTCTAGCCAAAGGAGTCGTACCTGCATTGTCTGAACCTTTAAACTTTGCTGCAAAGACGACAAGCTTTGCTCACTGGAACTATTCCATCGACTCCCCGTCGGTGCATGCATCGATGTAACATACAGTATCATATCAAGCCGTAAGCGAGCGTCAGCAATAATGAACGCGCTCAAAGTTGATGAGGATCAGACTGTCTATTGAACACTTGGGATTGTTTCAGACATGTCGATGTGAAAACCTCTTGATCTTCTACCATAACTACGTCGTTTTCCAATGCAATAGCTCATGCTGCTGACGGACATGGGACCGTTTGATCAAAGCCCGAGACTAAAGTTCTCAAACTAAACATACCAAACCATGCACACTCGTACAATCTACGCAGACGGTGCGTCTGTCAACAACTGTGCAGTCAGGCAGGCTCCTGAAACCGGTCTTATCCCTGAGCACATTTCTTGCATCCTAGTCGAAAGCATTAGTTAGCAGTGCATGATAATTGCATTCCAAGCTCAAGAAACCCTTGACCTCAAGTGGGCATGTCTCTATCCATATCGATCTGTCTAGCTGTCCCCTGGAAAGCTAAATGCCCGTATTGAGGCAATGTCTTTAACGACAATCGTGAGCATAGCGTTTGATTAGCCATGACCAAAGCGCAGCTGGTTTTTGCCTCGTCGCGTTTCCCATCCGATTCTTGTGCCACAGGTCGGAAGATGTGTTTCTACTCAAATACGAACCAGGAACGACTTGGCAACGCCCCGTCACGTTGCCCAAACACTGCGTCTTTGCTTCTTCATGGCGATCTTGGTGAGACGACAGCATGAGCGAGAGCGCAGACTCGTCTGCAGCTAAAAAAAGCGATTCCACTGGCTAGCTCCTTGGCATATTCAAAGTCCTGTACATGTAGCTGTGACCATGTTAGTAAACGAGTTGTTGACACAACGTCACGCACAGAGAGCCTAGTAACAGCACCGTTCAAAGATGTAGAGCATATGCACACATACGCATCGAGTAAAGAATCAATGCACCAAGTTTGTATCGCACCTCGAAATACTTCCGAGACTTTTGCACTGTTGATCAAGTCGTACGTGACACCGGAACTTGAAGCAGCACCACCTTTTGCATGTACAGATATACCAGTGTGTATCTAAGCGTTTGGTGCTGTATGCTAAGCATTCCCACGCAAACGTGCGAGTCGCGATTGCTACGACCATAGACTCAGTTTATGCAATGCTTTTCAGTACATGAACGGCATAGTCAGCCACTCGCCAGTCTACATTCCGCTGTCGTAGACGAGATGTTCCAAGTGTTTATTCAATCACTTAGCAAGGTCGTTCTTGCTGGGAGTAAACGTCCCACCTGCTTGCAGCTGAGTGGACCGAGAGACCTTACACAGTAGACAGTACTCCCCTCGTTTGAACACAATTTGCACGCTTGTCACTAGCTCTGTTCGAGCCAGCTGTCGTCACGAGTATCGCTAGCAGAGCTTAGATGCTGAGCCCACAACAGGCCTATCTAGCACACGACCTCGGTAACATCTCTGTCTCTCGTGACACATCAGGTACTCGATCTTTACAGAGCAAAGCAGACCTTGGTGTGGTACGGACAGTCCGATCATAGGGCAAAGCAGCAGTTGCTAGTGTAACCAGACTCGTTCATCGCGTTATATGCTCATTTTACAGTTCGCCGACCTACTGGCACTTGAGCACTTGACTGTTGGTCGTGTTTCAAAGCACATCTTCTCCACCTCTTCACCTTGTTTCGGTCATCATGCCGGCACCCAGTAATCGTCGCAATGCCAACCGTGCTCGATGCCAATTTGCTACTTGTGACAAGTTTGCCCAAACTCGGGGTCTGTGCAAGGCACATGGAGGTGGTTCTCGCTGTCGTGACCCGCAGTGTAACAAACTCGCTCAAAGTCGCGGTCTGTGCATTGCTCACGGTGGAGGTCGTCGCTGTCAATTCGACGACTGCAAAAAGCTGGCCCAGTCCAAGGGGTACTGCATTTCGCACGGTGGCGGTCGTCGCTGCACCGTTCCAAACTGTGAAAAGTTCTCACAAGTCAAGGGCCGCTGCAAGTCTCACTCCAAAGTTTTGACAACTGATGCCTACTCACCGTCTTACGGTGTCGTTACTCCTTCAAGTTCAGCTGGCACGATCGCTATCTCCCCCACTAGTGCCAAGCTCTCGATCGACTTTCTGCTTTCACGCAGCACATCCATTGGCGACAAGGCTCCGTCCCAGGAGCAGATGAAGATACCAGCTCTGCGCCCCGTTACGCATTTTGCTCACCCGTTCACGGCCGGTATAGGCTGTAGTTCCCGATATGACGCACAGATGTTAGGTAACCAGCGCTCATTGCTGTCGTTCCTTGAGCCTCATAGCACAGTTCCGGCTTACACTGCACCGCAGCCTCAGTATGCTGCTATTCCGGTATATCACAGGCCATCGATGCTGCTGCCGTCGCGTATGATGTACCGCTAAGCCACAGACACTAGTTGAATGTAGTGCAGTTTTGTGAGTTGATGACATACGTGTTGATAAAAGTTTTGAAGACGCCACGGACACTAGAGTTAGTTCTTCATATTTAAAACTTGATTCTGAGAGATGTCATGTCCATGAGTATATCATCCACTGTACAGGTGCAATACTGAGCCAAGGAAGGGGACACGGATTAGATGTGTTACTCTCAGACCTTCATGAGAGCCGTTAAACTTGAATCATGACGTCTTGCAAAGCCTTCATCCTGGTCGATACTTTCAAAATTTCTTGGCATAGTCACGTAGCAGGATGTGGCTACTTCAAGACAATGTAGACACTGGCACGGACAATAAGACAAAGCGCTTTGCTTTGATAGCGCATGAACACGAAGATACTTGCACTGAATGGAACCTTCAATGCGCTTTAGCTCACGATTCTGACGCCATTGTATCCAGATCAATTGCCGACAAAATTTGTCTGACAAACGACACGTTTGGGTTCATTCAGGCAGACTAAGAACACGACAGAAGCTAGAAACGATAGAGAGCGCTATCGCATTCACGACGTTTGTATCCTGAAGTGGTGGAGGAAGCAAGGTCGTTCGTTCGAAAAGTTCGCCTTTACATGTTGGAAATAAACGTTTTTGCCAACAAGCCACTCGTAGAAGCTTGACTTACCACTCTCCTTTCTCACCACAATTGTTAGCCACATTTGCGGTTTCAACGCCAGCTAATTAGATCCATGCACCCCCTACCTGGGACATTGACCACCAACTGCCCTCCAAACATCGATGTTACGCCACGCGATCTTGTTGTTAAACCGTTGCCAAGCCTCCAAAAAACTGGGTAACTCCATCTATCCATAGCAGCACTTCAAAACTTGAACCATGGTAGACATCCAGGGATTGCACATTACGGGCACTCCGCATAGCGTCTCTTCTACTAGTCGATCGTCTTTGTTTAGGAGTGTACCATGCATCCATCTGCTTGAGCTTTTCTTGTCAGCAAGTTGACCCTCCCTTCGATTTTCAAAACGCCAGAGTAGCCAGAAGACAACTAAACGCAAAGAGCATTCGTTGAGCACCACCAGCGTATTGTTATAGCAGCTTTTCCTGCGGGGGAAGTCATGAACCCGTCTCGGTGCTCGAGCCAGATCGTTCATGTTTATATTCACACACCACACCAGCGCATAACGAGTTCATTGCCAGGCTGTAACTCTCACTTCTGTTGTCACGCCTGTAAGACTGGATCAATTAGACAGCACGCTCAGTGGATGTTCTGGCAGTGGCGGCCTTGAAGCTACAGGGGGTATCAGGCAAAGGGATACTGCGTCACAGAATAAATGGCTCACGCCCCTGCCCGTGACACGAACGTAAGTAAAACGTCTCGAGTGCACATGTACAGCAGCTACTTGATGCATTTTTTGATAGGGCATCGTGGGCAGTACCAATTGCCTGGTGGGATGGAAAGTAGAGGCGGCTCGAGACAGAAGGCATGATATGCGGCATCGCAGCTATCGCAAAGCAACATGCTCTCTTGCGCATTCATTTGACCACACTGCCTGCACAGTTCCTCTGACGCGAGATGTGACACCGGGGTATTGGGTGGCACGTCCGTGACAAACTGCTCAAATAGCCGATTAAAGATAGCTGCGCATATAAGGGCACAAACAGACAGACAGATTAGTTTCAGGCACTGACATATACATGCACGCGTAGACACTTACAACGCAGTCGATTTGCACACTTGGAGATGTCGGCATCCAAACAATTAAACGTGAAGCAGTTCTCCCAAACAAGGTTCACATCCTGCACAAGCATCTCAAACCGCTGGTCGTAGAATCCACGGCTAAGCCTTGACCGGATCGTACCCAGATCCATGGGGTGCTTGATCAAATCCGCGTACCCGGGTACATCCTTCACGTTCACTGGCGCTAGGAATGCCAGTGCCAACTCGTTTCGTGACACCATATCCAGAACATGCTCTAAGCGTGACCGCAGCGTTACATCCTGCGCGCTTCCCATAGGAAAACAGTGCTGTAGCGTCTTCATTTGGAAACAGCGTAGCTCAACATACTGCGTCTCTGGTGGTGGGGCGACTGGGGCAGGAACATGTGCTGGGCCCTGCGCTCGCCGCTTTCGACTGGAGAAAGAGCGCTGGCCTGACGTTCCAGTCAATTGAGAGCCAGAGTGTTTCTTTTTCAGCGTAGCGTGACGCCCTGATACGCTCTGTGAATGAGATGCTGATGCTATCTGGACTTGGTGAGCCGAAATCGCTTGGATCCATCGTTCGACCTGATCCTCCGTTAGTGACGTAATCGCAGTAACCTCGCTTCGAGCCTTCCGGTATGCATAAGTTGACGACGACCGTTCTCGCTGCACCTCCAGGATGTTGTGAATTATCTTATTGGCTAAATCAACTACACCAGTAGACAGTCGGCCCACAAACGGCAGCTCTGAGGGGTCCAATACAGGCTCGGTTGCTTTCGATTCCTGGCTGAATATCGTTGTTTTCTGGGGTGAACCAGGCCGAGTACAATTTGCGCTCGTTGCGTTTCGATGCTTACGCTTGCCTCCACGTTTCATACGTCCGTACGAAATGGCGTCGTCCAATGAATATAGCCGCATAGCAGCTGATGCAATCGTTGCTGTGGTAATTGCGTTTTTCGCTGATGGGAGCGGAGACGTCTTCCAGCAGGGATCGAGCCATTCCGGGTCAATGTTAGCTTCCAAGAACACGACTGCTTCCATTAAATTAGCTGACGTGTCACACGCATAAACCATTTCTGCCCATGCAGCACGGATAGAGCGTCCCCACCGACCCGAGCGGAAAGCGTCGCGTGGGATTGCAGATTCCATTGTTAGCAATTGGGCTCGAAGAAGCAGCAACGAGCGCGGGAGGTCTTTCTTCAGCGGACGGATTGTCGCGCTGAAAACTTCCAGCAATTCTGTTGCAAGCTCTCCGACCTCTCCATCCGTCGGTTCTTCCATTCCTGCTTCACTGCCACTCCCCGCGCCTCCTTTGGAACGGGCCTTGACAAAATCGGGGTCATACATGTCTGCAATATTAGTGATTTTTCGAGACACTCGTGATGATCTCCTGGATACACCAGTCCCGTCCGCTACATGAAGCTCCTTTCCTCCAGCTTGGGCACGAGGCGAAGCCCTTGTAGTCTGAAGTGGAGGTCTACCCTCGGGAATTATTACGCCGGCTTGTTCCGACTGAGACGTTGGAACGGTGAATGCCGTTGCCTGTACAGTTTCGGCCGTTTGGCCCACCTTTGAGGGCTTATTTTGAGCCTGTGCATTTGTATGAGCAAGCTCAGAACTTGATCCAGCACCTGACAAGCTGTTTTGTAACCCATCCTGCAATCTCGCTAATTGCACCTCGCGGTCACGCTGCCTATCGATTTCGCTACGTTCTCCGTCCGTATCTGACTGCGCTGGTGTTGTCGTTTGCGAGATGGGTGGAGAATCTGGTTCTGTATCGACATCCGCGGTTGCACTACATTCTGTAGTACCAGTTGTGCTTTTGTCAGAAGTGTTGGCATTAGTGTCGATTTCGTAGTCTGACACTCCACGGTAAACCGTTTCGTTAGCGTCATAATAATTTACATGTGATGCATCTCCATTAGATGGTAATTGGGGGTCATTCCCTGCAACGAAATTCACAAATTCACCAGTCGAATTATTGCTTTGATTTGAGTCCGGAACTCCAAAAGATGGCGACGAATAGTCCATTGATGGGGACGCGTTTGACATTAAAGGGACAGATTCCATTGACATTTGCACGTCTCCGTCTCCACTCATATTCATAGAATTCGGCGCTGATCCTGGAGGAAACGATTGAGAAACCATCGGATCAGGCGCACCTTGCCAGACTCCTCCTGTGTTCTGGGCACTTGAAGCACTAGCCACGTCATCATTGTATACATTCGACAATGTGTCGTAGTTCGTACCATCCGAAGGCACGGTAGGGAAAGCTTGCCCAGATATGTCACCCATGAAATCTGACATGCTACCTGCCATTTGTAGGTTGTCGTACTGCAAGGACGGATCTCCCATGGGTTGACTCGAAGATGCTGACGGGAACGGGAACAAATTCATGTTGTCGTCCATGTCAGAGAACTGTCCTGGGGTTGCAGTTTGGTAGCTTTCGCCTGAATTCACGATGTTGTTTCCCGAATCCATCCGTCCACTTCCTAGTTGCTGTTTGCCATATAACTCGGTGCTGTCTATGCTTTCAGCTGGCCCCGACTGATTGAAGGCACTTGGTTGCTGTACTTGCTGTTTCATTCCCGAAGAAATTTGAGCAGAAGGTGTCGTCCCTTGAGTAACTGCGCTTGCCAAATGCCCGAAACTGGAAGTGGCAATTTTTTGTGCCTGTACTGCCGTCAATTGCCGTCGGAATGTCACTTTTAGTGGTCGTTTGCTCGTAGCAACTGCAGCTTTGAAACCCTCCATGCCAATAACCTCCAGTTTATTGCCATTCACTGCATAGACTTCGTCACCCACCTGCACCTTGCCGCTGGCCTGAGCCTGTCCTATCTTGTTGTTATTGTCATTCGAAAACTCCGTGACAATAATAGTTCCATGATTGGAATAGTTGATCACGACACCCAATGGACCAAATCCGAATTCCACGTCCACAAGCATGCCGTCGTTGCTGGCTTGGTTCGAGGTCTGAAAATTACTCGTCAGGTTTGAATTTAAAGTCGAACCTGGTACCATGCCATACATTGGAATCTGGAGAGATGCCATTGACGCCGTCGCCCGATTTTGAGTAGCGACGTTGCCACTGGAAGCTACGTTAGTTTTCCGATAAAATGCCAGACGAATGTTCTCGAGGAGATTGATCTGCTGTACGAACGAAGCAGGAAGAGATTCTACGCCTGGTGTTGACGATGTAAATAGCGACCGGCAGTTGCTTAAATCATCGAAACTAGAACCTGACAGGTACTGTGTCGTCCGCATAAACATTAACACGAAATTGGCAACATTGTGGAGCTCGACTGACAAATCACCAGCACGCTGAGACGGCTCACACTTTTTCGCTGCAGTAGCAAACCCGCTTAGTGCCCGTGCGCGCAGCAAGTTCGATGGATCCACGCAACTGAGAATAGCTGTCGCAAAGGCGTCTGCCACTTGCTTCACCAGAGCCGAGTCCGAATGAGTTTTCTGACTCGTTGTGAGCGCTTGCGTTGCCATCGCACAAATTAACCCCATCACGTACGCGTGGTGGAGGCATACAAACGTTTTGGGGTCCGGATGAGTTGCCTTGGGATCAACAACAATGCGTGATACCACCTTCTTTATCTCTTCAAAACTGGACAAACAGGAATAGGCTAGCCTGTTCGTCGTCTGAACTGTAGCAGAGATAGCAAATTGATTCCAAGCTGCCAGCATTAACCTCCCTTGGTCCACTAGCGCCTGAAGTGACCGCTTAAAGGAAACAGCATTGTTGGCCGCGTCAAGCGCTAGTTGTTGCTGCATTCTTGCAGCTTCATTTGAATTTGCATATCGCGTCCGCTTCAACTGGTCAGCGGTTTGGTGAGCGTAGGGGTTTTCTGTTTGTACATGCTTCCGCTTCAATGCCTCTAGGTAACGTGCTTGAGCGGCAGCATACGCAGACGACTGTAAGTCTCCCTGCATCCTCGGAAGCGCGACTGATGGCATCCCAGCCTGGTACATTCCGGACCTTGTTGCATGAAGAGTGCTGTTTAACATTGCTGCGTTCGACAAAAGACCACGCTTAATGATTTGATACACCTCCTGCGAAATCGGAATGGGCTTCACCCCTCCATGCCCATCCATCACACTGCCATGCTCGTACTTCCGCGCAAACATACGCTTTACCACATTTTCTGCCTTCGGACGAGGAGCGACAAGCGACGAAGGGAAATTCGCATTACGCAAAGTAGTGACATCTGCAGCTATCACTGCATGGAATCCAGTGGAGCGGATCGATGCCTCAGCGCGTGTGAGCGCGCTTTCGGCCTCCTGCTGCGTGTAAAACGACCCTAGAAAAAATGTGCGTCCATAGTAGCTCACAAGCGATTCGTATTTTTCCATATCTCCGTCCATGGCCAGAAGAACTTGCTTTTTAATCGAGAAAGGTCCATCTTGGAGGAAGTTTTCGCTAGAGTATTCGCAACACGACGAGCCTTGTTGCAGTCGAAGACTTGTACTTTCGCTGTAAAGGACTCGATGAAAGCACCATCGAATTTGGGTTGCAACCTTCGAGTCTCTCGAATCCTCATCTAAATATGAAAGAAGTTGGAAAAGGTGATCTCGTGTAGCACACACTGACCACTTCTTTTCCGGAGACAGTATGAACAAGCGGTGGTGATCACTGAAGAAGCGGTAGAATGAGTAGCCGTGTCGGCATTTACCAAATGTTAAAGTTCTTGGAATGATCACCCATTTGATAAAGCTCTCCATCTCTCGAGCTTTCTCAACTCGAGGAAGCATAGATCCACATTCTGACCATGCCGCATTGGCACTTTCAACACAGGGTTCATGAGCTTGCAGCAAAGTCATCGATTTAACAAATTGAATAAAGTGGAGATAAACTGGACAGGTAGACGACATCTCGGCACATAGAGCCTTCACCGTCGCCCAGCTCAAACCGGCGACAGACCTACCGTTGAGCCCCACAATAAGGTCACCAACTTTAATAGTCGATATAGATACCTCTTTGTCCGCTTTGTTCGAGTTAGCATACCGTTCACAATACACAAGGCCTTTTATTGCGATAACACCAATGGACGCAAGAAGATTTTCAGCTTCAAACGGCAGTGGAAACGACTCAACGCGATAAGTCTTGACATCGCTTGTTGTAGGAAGCTTCAGCTGTTTACATAGCAAAGATGGGCTGCCCAGTAACTCAGCCAGACGCTTGTTCGTCTCTTTGGAAGTCATAACCTGAGTGCCTATTCTAGGTGGTTGCCTAGAAAAGGTGATTGTTAGCGGCCGCGGCAAGCTCAACAACCACGACGTAAACTGAGATAGATCACTCAGCTGGCCATAGGATGCACCATTGACACGTTTTACCAAATCTCCTTGCAAAATTTGCCCACTCATTGATGCTTGACCCAGCGTACCGTCAGGGTGATCATTTAAAGATTTCACAACCACACCTCGAGTTTCAAGTGCCAGCGCCAAACCAAGCGGGCCGTCTTGGAAACTCACCTCATAAGAGGTCGGTCCATTTATTTGCGGTGCGATTAAGCCAGCTCGAAACGCAGTCTCCTTCGCGCGTTGTGAAGGCGCATCATGTACAACACATTGCCACTCTTCATTTGCCCTTCTCATTTTTGCAGAGGGGGGACGGACAAAGACGGCATACGTAGTGTCTGTAGAACTGTTTGTAAAAAGCAATGATTCGACATCAGTCACGTCCATACCGCGTGTTGGGATACCATTGACCATCAGGAGGACGTCACCCGGAAATACTTGCCCGGAGAGCTCTCCAAATCCTACTGGAACATCTTCTAATGAGCGATAAGACTGAACGAATATATACGATTCGTACGCATCCAGAACCAACATCAGTGGCAGTCCATGGCATTTTACAATCGACACCGAGGCGCGCACAGCCTCCCCAGGCAGTGATGTCAAGTATAGCAAGATTGGTTCAGCAGTCGTTTTCAAGTGATCTTGGATAGCGGCGCGACTCATTCCAAACACGACAAGGTCATTGATCGCGTAAACGATTTTCGGTCGAGAATGCTGACTGCTCAATTCGTCCTGGTTCAATGAGTGATTTGATACGACCCCAGAGCGTTCAAAATATTGTACACCTTCTGCCGTGTCTTTCAAAAGCAAAGTTGCAAGGTCATTCGTCGTTAAGGTTCGCACCGTCAGGATCTCAGCCCCTTCACCTGTCAGCAGCTCCGGAAGTTCGTAATAATTTAACAGCGATATGTGGGCTGTCAGTGCGGATTGCTTGCAAGGGTGCAATGGTCCATTCAAAATCCCATTTTCCAAACCGCAGAATGCACACAGCGGACGCGATAGCAGCGCACTACATTCGTCATCACAATGATTTTTCTCGCTCGACGCGACCGACGTCAGTAAATAGTGATCGCTAAATTCTTCAAAAAATATCTCTTCGTCCACTTCGGAATTGTCTGACGAATCACCTTCCTCCATTTTTAATGCCGTGGGTTCCTCTTTCCTTCTGTCTGTATCGCCATAGAGATTTTTCTTTGCACTTTCAGGCAATACAGGAACAGGTTTTGATTCAAGCTCTGCCTTTGCTTTGTCCTCCAAATACGTCAATAGCTCGTCCGTTAGCTCATGTTCCACACCATCAATGATGAATTTCTTAGTCTGCTCTATACCGTGCGACGAGTGCGGCGGAGTAAATTGATCCCACTCGCGCTCCAAGTCAGCCAGTGATTCTCCCAATTTTTTGCGCAAATCATTTGCTTTTTCGTTTAGCGAGTGATACACTGACTGAACTGCGGACGTCTCCTCAATCAACTCGCACATTACTCGCAGCACTTTCAATCGATCAGTGACAGTGAGTTTTGAGTAGTTTTCCTGCGATAGAAGATCGATTGCAGATATAAGTCGCTTTTCCAGCTCCGTCAAGTCGTTTTCTTTCCGCTCAGTGATGCCCGTGTTGCCACTTGAGTTTGCCATGTCACGAAACATTTTCTGAAACAGCTCGGGTGAAAAGGAGGAGTCCGCAAGGCATAATGGACAAAACCACTCACCCTTAGGGACAACAGACAATGAAGAATTGAGACAAAACGTGTGATACGGCGCGTCACAGCGATCACACAGTAGCAATTGGCCCTTCGCGTGGATCGTTTGACAATTGCGACAATTGTTTTCATCTGCAGCAATCATCGGTCGGTTCACGGTCGTGTACACCCACTCTTTCATTAATCGCTCAAAAATCACTGACAATTTCTGAGCCAAGTGAGATATTTCTGCTTTTAACGAGTTGTATGCGTAGCAGTTTCTCCACACTAGCTGTACATCATCAACAAAAGACTCAACGTCATCGTTTTCATAGTCTTCATCCTCGATTTTCTCCGAAATCGTACCCAAATCCATTGCCTCCGTGATATCCCCACTAGAGTAGTAGTCAGGATAAAGCTCAGCATCCACTGGCTGATTGAATGGCGCTGCAATTTCTTTCGCTCGAAGAAGCTTTAGCACGAATCCACAACGCTTTATTTTCGTCGCTCCTTGCGTTAAAGCAACATGTTTCATGGAGTTCTTGACCGCAGGGACGACCGAAGACAATAGCAATCCGTGGGGAGTCTGAAGTTCACTCAAGAGACTGTTGAAGTCTTCGATTGATGTCTCCCGCACATCTTGACCGTTAATAAACATGAGATAATCCCCAATCCGTATTCTATCAGCGTTATCATCCTTTGGCTCAGTTGCAGCGGACGGTTTCGCTTTGTCCGAAAAGGCATCATTTGTGGCGATGACTTCTGTCACGACAAGGTGCTGGTCCTTCTCTCCCACCTTAATTCTACTGGATACACCACCAACAAGAACGACACCGTAATAATCGCTTATTCCTGACGAGCTGTTTGCTTCAGAAATGGATGTGGTCGATGAATTTTCATGCGAGCTCTGCGCCTCAGCCTCTGGTTCTTCTTTCACTTCCTCAAATTGAGCCCCGTTCAGCAAGTTGGTTCCTCGCCGGTGTAGTTTCTGACGGAGTGGGTGAGTAACTGAATCGTCTCGGTATGATTTGTTGCCCTTAACAGACTTGAGCAACTGTTCGTCCGCGCTGGGGTGCTTAAACTCCATTGCAAACTGACACACTTCGCGTGCAAGTTCTGGCCAACTAAACGCGTTCATGGGCCGTGTGCGATAAAACTCATCGATAGTAGTCCCCATTTGAAGCAGCGGGAAATATTCGGCGATCAGTGCCTTCAATAGCTCTGCGTGCAATGAAGAGAAAAGTGTACCAATCGAATCGTCGTCCATTTCACCGTCTCCAACAGGGCTGGATCCGTCGCTTAGCGTCATTATTTTTACAAAAACGCTGAGTGAGGGTAGTATTGGCAGTTTCAAACAGTCTGAGAATGTTGAAATAAAATCCCACACGAAAAGTAAATCAGCATGAGACTCTGCCGGGACCGAGTGCAGATCAGCTGCTTCAGAAATTACCTGTAAAGGAAACTTGGCGTCTTGAGTTTCTAAAATGTTGGGCTCGTAAAGTTGAGAATACTGATTTTCGGACATAGAAGGGTGGTTCGCTAGCTCCAAAGTATAGCGTGCTTTCACACGAGCCCAGACTTCACTTTCCACCCTGTTCCTCTTACGCCATAAGCGAATCTGTCGTCGCCGCTCTCTTTCCTCTTCCACAAATTTTAGCAGCACAACCTGTTGCTGCCTAGCGGACGGAGCATCAGACGAGGCCTTTCTCTTCCTTGAGTCGCTGAATCTTCGCGGAGACGATGACGTCACAACACCATTCTCAAGGATCGCTTTCTGCTCTTCACGCATTTGACGACGCTGTCGCTGCTCTTCTATCCTCCGCTTCATGGAACTTTCCTTCTCCTCCAACTTTTTGCGTTTTTCCTCTATCCGTAACGCACGCTTTATTTCCTTTTCTTCTTCTCTCATTCGCATTTCCTCTTCTTTTGCCAGACGCATCGCCTCCTTTCGTGCCTCCTTTTGCCGAGCCGCTTCTACCTTAGCCTCAAGAATTGCGCTTTTTCGCGCTTCTTTTGCTCGCCGCTGAACTTCTTTGGCATCTTCTTGAGCCTTGATTTCGATCTCTAAGAGTTTGCGTGCTGCTTTCCGGACGCTACGCTTGTCAGCTTCGCGTTGGTCTTTCTCGTCCTGTTGCTTGAGGTGCTGCACATCGTCGAGATCATATGAATGCTCTTCTACTAAAAATGTTTGTGACAGTTGACGACTGATTTCGTCCTTCGAAAATGGAGTATGAACTTTGAGCATATTCTTTAATTGGCCTTTCAGACGCGACCGAATCTTGGCGTGGACATCGGGCGTGATTGGATGTCGCTGCTCCCAGAATTGATAATCTTTACATAAAAGCACCTGATGCAATCCTTCTAGCACGCGTGTAATATTTCGGCGAAGCAGGCCAAATCCATCCTCACTGCTAGCAGGTGTCAATACATCAATAGTTTTGCCGTTTTCGTCAGTTTCCGCGAAAAACACGGATTCACTAACCACAGCCATCAAATCGTCGGGCGACAGACTTTCAAAATGTACGAGAGCCTTCTTCCAAGCTTTACTCGCCACGTACGACCTAAACACAATTTCAACTGTGAAAAAGTCAGCCATCAAATTTCACCAGCCAATATCCTACCAACATTACTCCAAAACCCGACATACCTGTGCTATTTTCAAGTTCTACCACAAAAATCGGGGATTTTTTATTGTTGCCATGTACGATTTCTGTCGTCAGTCACAGACCAAAAAAACAACATCATGTGAGATGCCACTTAGCTAATGAGGCTAGTCTATCTTCCACGTACTGCATCGTAATCGAAAAGCTACAGTCATGGGAGTCGTTACTTGCACCTTCACAAGTGTCTCGTATCCAATCTTCAAATACACAAAATGGTCAGCAATTAGCTCCATTCTCTTTACTAGTAACGCCATTTTGTACGTACCGGAAATAATCTCTTGCTCGTGTAAAAACGTTTTTCTGGAATCACAGTTCCAAGTGCCATTACACGAATAGGTCCATCTATAAACGGCAAAGCCAGTTGTGCCACTTTTCTTCTTAGAATTGCAAGATAATACATATCTTCCCGTGGAATCACCCCCTGCATTAAATGCGTGTAAGCTCGTAAGGCATCTCTTAATTTTCGATACTTGTGGTGAAATGGGTCCACTAGTTTTCCATCTTGAACACTCCAGAGACTCAATGCTGTCGTGTCGAGGTCTCTCTGTTGTGCTACAAGTCGAAGTGATTCAACTGATAGTTCCAAATACTCGAGAGAGTCACTATTTCGATTTTGTGACCATGCCACGTCGGTCTCGTCATGCGATATGGCCATCACGGTCGATGCAGCGTTCATGTCTTCGTCCTCGTCGTCTTCGTCGTCGTCTTCTTCTTCAATGCTTCTCATTTCCTCATCATCCTCTGCATAAAAAGAACGTGTGTCACTGCTTCCTTTGTCCATATCGTCATCTTCACTGTTGCTGTAAGAATGCGGAGCTAAGAGCAACTTAAGACCATGGGGATTTGACACGGAAGGAGAAATCATTTCGTTCTTTTCCTCTTCTTCAAAGAGGTTACTATTATAGCCATCTTCTGACTGTGTATGAGACAATGTCATAGCGGAAGACCAGTATGGTCCACCGCTATAAGGACGCTGCTCGTTGGATGAAGGATCCATTTTAAGGGCGGCAGATACAGAGTGATTGTTTTTTCTGTCAAAAGACTTTCCCCTTTTCGTCAGCTAGTTTTTTATGGAAAACCACATAAAATAGGTAGGTCACAATCGATGTGTACCACATACGAAACATCCAGATTTTTTTTATTTTGAAATTATACATGAAACATAGAGGCCCCAAACTTGCATCATATAGCGCCCTTTATAATAAAGCCTCTATAAATGTAATCGCAATAACCCTATTTCTAAGCGATAAAGTTGTAGAGGTTTAGGATATACTCAAGATTTTTTCTAAAAATTATCCTATTGATCGAGATGCTTGGTGAGAAGCATACAGTAGTGATATTTGCGATAATAAGCTCTCCTTGCTCTAATATCAGCATTTGAACAACAATATCGTAGGTCCATAGAGATCATATCAATACACGTCAGTTGTGCATGATTCGTACCGATTGTCAAATGTTTTTAGAGACGTTATAAACGTCAAGACTTAGGCTTTCGTAGTTACAAAGAGACTGAGGAGCTCTTTTCAATCGACTTTATGCCTTTCAAATAAAAAAAGCGTCATGATCCATCGCAACCTGTGCAGGTGTCAGTACGACTAGAGCCAACCCATAAATGTGTGGCTCGGACATGCAGCACGGAATGTCCCAGACGCTTAAGGATTGTAGATTGTAAACCTCCACCACCAAATTGAGAAAGTCCGTCTCGACTTGATGGAAAGACTTTTTTGCTAGCTTGTACTCTCTCTCTCTGCTTCTTTCATTCTCTGCAGCGTGCCAACATCATAAGAAGCAAGCCCCAAAAGTGCACATTTGCAATTGCGAGGAGCTACGTGACCGAGTTACGACGATCTTCACAACCACCGCACTTTTCTGACAATGGCAAACGCATATCAGCACTTTCTGGAATGCCCTCACATCAGCATGCCCTTAAGCGATGAAATTGACCGTTACCATAAACCGATCACAACTTTTACAGCACTATTGCTTGCAGCTCAATCAGCCGAAATCGATTCCCCTGCTCTGGACAACACCTGTGGTCCAACCCTGACACCAAATTCGTTGGTGACCAAGCGCCGGCTTCGAAACCGTGTATCCTGTCGCAAGACACGTCTCAAGCGTAAACTTCACCAGCATGCCCTTGAGGTTTTAGCCAGCGAACGTCTCAATCGTCATGAATATCTGACACAACTGTGCCTAAAGCTTGGCTCTCATCATCACGGAGACGATAAACTCTTCCGTGAATTTGCCACGAAAAGCCTGCACTACGCGTTGGTTGACTCAGAACATAGCGGGTGGTTTGACGCTGGCAATAATCAAGTGACACCACCTTTTAGACCGAAAAATAAGCGTGACGCCGAAGAATTTGAACATCCAACGAGAAATCTCAAACGCATACGGCATACCAATGACCGTGATGTCTCTGATGCACTAAGAATTGATTCCCGAGCTTCACAAACCTCACTGTTTGAGCAATGGCGACTGATTGTCGACGGACTGCAGAATATTGACTTGCAGCTAGACCGGATGGACGAGAATGCGATTGCAGCTAACATCGTTGACCGACATTGTTACTGGAAATTTGTTGGTGTCAGCATAGCTAAATTGAAACGATTTGGTGAAATTGCTGCTGTTGCGGTCTCCGGCATCACCCGAGTGAGATTCCATGGCCATCATGTGCAGCAAGTCAGCATCAGCACCGTTCGACGCGAAGACAATGTTTCTTTTGAATATAGAACCAGCAGCAACAACGCCAACTAAGTGTTCTGAATCGACAAAAGCAGGTACCATTGCAGCACTTCGACACAATTCCACTACATACCGTGACGTTCGAGACAGTTTACACCGTCAAACAGTAAAATAGCACAACATGTATCGTTTTCCAACACACATGTTTTCTTCATCAATCCTCGTATTCTTGTTCATAATTCTGAGGCTGTATGACCATCCTACCTCCTTGGGTTGTTTGGGCAGCCTTCATCCAATAAGTGACGCCGCCAGCCTTTCTCGCCTGGGGCAATGTCGTCGTGGCAAAGAGGGCAGCGGTTTGCGCTTTCCAAGGGTGCACGATGGGTGCAGTCGTCGAGAGACACGTGCCGCTCATAGAATTTGGTAATGATGGCTTCGCCACAACGCGGACACTCGCGGTGATTCTGCTGCATCTCGCACTCAGCCAGCAGATGCTCGTTCAAAGTCGATATCTCAATCACTTGGCCGCACATTTTGCACGGTGTAAGCATTTTACAGTTTCCCCAAAAATGCTGGTCCAGGTAATCCGAGTCAAACTTTTCGTCCACAACACCACAGAATGGACATGTATACTCATCCACCGATTCCTTGTCTTCGCTATCGTTCATGTCCTCAACATCGAGCTCAAACTGCTCTTCAATCTTGCAATGTATCTCGTCGCGACGAGATCCGCTACCATTGCTTACTGCAGCGGCGGTAGCACCGCTACAATGATTCAATACCTTTGCTCTTTTTACTGTCTCGAATGCCGCTTGATATTCTTCTAGCTGCTTTGGCCGTAAATGTTTCAAGAAACCTTCCACCTCGGTCCCTACGGCAAGATAGAGTGACACGGTGATATCCTTTGCAGCATCACGGATCTCACGACACTGGTGCGCTAAGCTATTGCTGTCTTCAAGGAATTGCATAATACTAGGCGCCGAAAAGTCGGACTCAGAGACCAGTTCGAACTCTGCCAGCAGCTTTTTCAGCAAGAGCAATCGACCCTGCAATAACTTAATTCCTAGCGGCTTTGAGGAGTGTTTTATGAGATATGATGTCACAAAAGCCACACCTACGTTTTTAGCGGCTGCCATATGTCCCAATACTGCCGCTGCTTCGTCACGAATCTTGGCTTGAGACCCACCTAGCCTATTGACCAGCTGAGGCATACTGTTGCCAAGCTGCACATAAGCAAGAGTATAAATTAGGCATGATCAGCCGTCGACGCACAACACCATACATAAAGCAAAACGTACGATCCGGCACATATCCTCGTGGCGAAGACGCGCACCGAACGACACCATTCGGTCTAGCAGGCCGAAAGCAGAAAGCGCGACCTGTACGATGCGGTCTCCAGCACCACTTTGCGCTAGCTTGGAGCACACCTCCAGCAACTGCTTCGGTTCGACAGGATAATTATTCATCTCCATGGTAACTTTGCGAATTGTAGCATCCCGATGATTCCACAGGTTGCTGTAGAAGCATCGCGTGAAGAAGGGGCCAATTACAAAAATAAGCTCTTCGCTCTCCTTTGCTAGTCCTGCAGCAATTTCTTCCGGGTCGGGCAAGTTAGCAGCACCTGGGATCCCTCTAAATTGTGGGTTCGGGCCTCCATCATTGCCGTCTTCCTGATCAGTATCGTTGCCACCATAGCGAGGATCCTGTTTATAACTGCCTTGAGGAGAATGCCGCAGTGAGAGGTCACTACCTTCATAGAAACTCTCACTGTTTGCAACCTGCGGTACTTTTTCAGGATACATATCGGTCGACGAAGCGTTTAACGACGAGCTAAGCACAGCTTCACTTGTATGCACCACTTGACTTCTCATCGAGGAGCTAGCAAATTTCGATAGAATCGGCAGTGATTCGTTATTCCTAACGGAGCCTTCTACTCTTCCAATCTCCAATTTAACCTTCTTGGCTAGATCGTAGTCTTCGTTAGCGACTGCCTCACTTTTCTGCGCCTTTAGTCTTGCAAGTTTCCGACTAATGGCTTGAAGCTGCTCCTCCATCTCCTTAAGTCTCTTGGCTTGGTCGTAGTCTTCACTAACCACCGCTTTATTTTTTGCCACTTGAACCTCGCGGATTCTAGCCGCCATCGTAACGTCACAACTACAACCTTCATCATCACATTTCTTCTTCTTCTGCTTTGACGAAGTAGCTACAGCTTCGTCCAGCATGTGATTGGGCAGTAATCTTTGTACTTTTCCACACAAATTAATAGCCATGATCCCCACCTGCCGGTACAAATTGTGCTCATTGTCATGACAGCCATGAATCCGGAGCTTTAGTAATGTCATCTCCTGGTCCAAATGTACTGTCTTGAGCTCTCTGGCCTTGTAATTGCTCTCTGTATTATCTTGAAGTGTAAGAAAACCTACTCGACTGAAACAAGTGGTCTCTCGATCAAAATGGAGACTCTTTGATACAAATAACTCCATCTTGGTAGCAATATGTGTCTCGTGAGACATAATTTGCACTTGAGTGACTCGACAGAGACCTCTCTGTAGCTGTAATATCAACTCTTGAGGATACGAACAATTCCTATTTAACATAACGACAAATCGATGTTAGAAAATTCAATTGAGACGTCTGTCAATTAGTAGAGAAACATTGACGGTATTTTACTTGGTAGTCATGTAGCCCTGATTCGTAGCTACATGATTGGTCAAATTAGACACGGAAAAAGACGCATCCTCGCTCGTACAGGCCACTACCGAGAAGCGTAGATTACTCATCGCAACGTTATTCTTGTGCTGATTCCCTCGCTTGAATGCCATGTCCAATCAGACTGACCATCATTCCGATATGACGGGATGATTGTATTGTATACAAATACCGTGTCTTTTCTCCCCACTGTCCTTGTCAGTCGTGAATTTGCTGTCGAGGAAGAAAGTGGGTTAGGGTTTAATCATGGTGAAGAAGGTCGTGGAAAGTAGTGACGAGTCTGACGGCGGCCATTCGAGTGTTTCCGGCTCCGTGAGCTCCCGATCAGGTTCTGGATCAGGCAGCGGTTCCGATTCAGGCAGTGGCAGTGGCTCTGATTCAGGCAGTGGGTCGGGATCTGAGTCCGGGTCGGGGTCGGGATCTGAGTCTGGATCCGGATCGGGATCCGGGTCGGGATCTGAGTCGGTTTCTGATTCGTCCGGCCCCAAGCAGCAACTGAAGAAGCAACTTAAGAAACGACGAAAAGTGTCCACGAGTAAAACAAAAGGGACAAAAAAGACTGGACAAGAGAAAGGAAAGAACCGACGGGACGTGACGACGACACGACGTCGTGGGAATCTTCAAATTCGAGAGGAAGAAGAAGACGAGGACGATGTGGATGTGTCAGGATTGACGGAAGTAGAAAAAGAGAAGCGATTATTGGAGAAATACGAGGCAAAAGAACAACGAAATAAGGAGCGGGAGCTGAAAAAGAGACTTGCAGCGTCGCAGGGAAAAGGTGAGGACGGGTTTTCAGAGGAGGAAGAAGGAGGAGAAGAAGATGTTTTATCGTCGACAAGAAGAGGAGGACGAAGCAGAGAAAGTGATCGACGGAAAGAAGCGTTGCATAATTTGAAAGCCAATAAATCCAGTGACAAAAGTCGCTCGATTTTGAGCAATCGGTTTGGAGAAGATGATGATTCGAATGAAGAAGGAGGGAGTCGAAGTGGACGAGATTTAGCAGAGAAAAGACGACGTCGGAGGGAATTACAACGTGGAGGCACAGGGAGACGTCGAAGTCATGCAGATGACGATGATGACTACAGTGATCAAGATAGTGATGGACACAGATCGAAGAAATCGAAGGCAGCAGATCTGACGGTCACGAAAACAGCAGATGAGGACGAGCTTGGGGTAGCGATTCGTCCGGAGGAAAACGTGCCGATGAATTGGAATCAAGCTAACCACTATTTGCTTAAGAGAAGAACATTTTTTGAAAAGAACTTCTTTGAGCCGTTCTTCCCACAACTTGTGCGAGGCGTGTACGTCCGTGTCCCGATCGAAATAGTGGATGGCGAAATGGTTTATCGCTTCTGCGAGGTTGTAAACGTTTGTAAGCTGCCGCGTAGTTACAATTTCTGCGGCGAGCCGACGCATACTGGCATTATTTGTGCATTTGGAAAGAGCAGGCGTGAGTGGAAACTAAATGGTATTTCAGGACATTCGCTGCGTGAGCGTGAGTTCTTGCTGTGGCGAGCGGCCATTAACAAAGACCGACTTCACTTTCCTACACACGGCGAGGCAAAGCGCTTGTACTCGAAGAAGCAGAAAATGATCACTCAGCATAATTACACCGAAACACAGGTGAACGAGATGGTTCGGCGGAAACAGGCTGTAGGCCTGTCTACTGTGTCCCTTGGCGTGCAGCGAGTGCGTCTGGAACGTGATCTTCGTGCTGCCCAGGACATGAAGAACTTTGAGAAAGCTGTGATGCTCGAGGAGCGGCTGCAGAGGTTATTGGCGAAGAACGAAGAGCGTAAGAATCACAACTCGGACGACGTTCTCCGCATTAACGAGATCAATCGTCGAAATCGTGAGGCTAACATACAGCAGGACTTGCATGCCCAGGAACTCAATGACGCCATGAACCAGAAAATGACAAGCGCAGAGCGTCTTCAGTTCGTACGCGCCAATCAGATGACTATGTACATGTCCCGAGACAAACTTGAGAAAAACTTGGCGGAAGGGAAGCTGATAAAGCTTCAGGATGGTCGGGTAATGACCTCGAATAAGCTGCATGCGGTTGAAGCGCTGCCCGATGATCTGCTAGATAAGGTAAAGGGTGTCGGCGAGAAGAAGCAGACTGGAGATGGTCTGGAAATTGACATTGATAGCCTTTTAGCGAAGCAGCAAGAGCGCAAGCAGAAGGATGCTGAACGTTCGGCGGCCAAGCGCAAGGAACGTGAGGGTCAGGTTGAGTTTGTGGGCGTCGCTCCCACGAATGTGCAGGAAATGGTAAACGCTACTGTTCGTATTAAGGATGACGATGGGTCGTGGATGACGCTGCGTGCACCCGCCGAGATTATGAAAGAGAAACAGAACAAGACTGTCGTGTCGGACAAGGTCAAGGCCTCACGCAAGGGTATTACTGTGAAGGAGTACTTTGACCGTGTCAAAAAACGTCGCGTGGCTCAGTAAGCGCAACCTGTCATGGCATAGTGGGTATGAGATGAATCCTTATCTTTTCGTGAGGGAGCCGTACACCAAGCACTTCTTTGATGCGAGAACGTGGATACTTCAAAATACACACATTAGAATCCCACCCACACGTGAGTACAGAAGCACAAGGTTCTTTTGTTGAGGTGCAGTCAATGCAAACATATAAGGCTGGTTGTTAATAAGGCTGCATCAGCGTGATAGTACAGACAATAAATAACGTACTGGTGTACATCCCGTATCTATCTTCAGTCTTCTACTGTTTCATCTCTACAATTGAGTCATATCCCTCGTCAAACTAAAGTTTGAGTCCAGCGCCAAGTCATTCATTCAGATGGTCGAAGATGGCGGCTCAAGAAGTAAATGCTGTGTGGTGACCTGGCTCGCTTGGTCCCGAATGGGGTCACGGCCATGAAATACACCTGCTCCAACGAGAAATCAAAAATTTTCCGAGCACTTTTCTAGCCAGATATCCTGCTCTTGATCGTGCATTCAAAGGATACCCATAGTCTTGAAGTTTTTTCCGAGTCAAACAGAACGGTTGGATTTAGAAAGAACGTCGTGTCGGCGGCAAGCATCAGGATTTGGTCGAACGGCATTGGCAGCAAGATCGCAGATATCACAAGCTCGAATCTCAACTAGCTCTTTCTTCATTGGAATCTGAGCTTAAAGGTCTTAGCGTTCAGCTCAGTGCAATTAGGCACTTCAATAGGCAAGCTGACTCCCATTGCACGCAGTTCTACAATCAAAGAAATTCCAATCCCGTAATTTTTCTCGAAGAGCGACATCACGATGCCACGCTTCATTGTTGTGCGCTGTATGATCTAACTCAGGGTGTTTACAAATGTAGAACAGCAAAACTTCATCGTCGGGCACGCCATCTTAGTGGACCGGGTACACCTGTTGAGTCCTTCGGACCACCATCGGTAGGTTTTGTGCCAATTGCACCCCTGCGCGATCTACTTCAGCGTGAAAACAAGTTCTTTGTTCTGTTTTGATCTTAGCGGCTCTCTTCCTCCTCTTTGCTAAGATCCTTTGGCGGACTAGAGGCAACTTCGAATGGCGAACCATTTTCATCCGATACATAAGGGCCTTTATTTCCCTGTTAAGTGAGCATGTCTGCCACCTCACGCTCCATACTATTTCGATCCTTTAGATTGCCTTCAGACGTCGAAGGGGCATACCATTTGCAGCTTTTAATCTTCGAATGTACCGGAAAAGAAAGCGCACGGGCGTGCCGCAGAGTAATACATAGGTGACTTCTTAGGTTCGTACTTCATAACATGGTCCGTATTCATGTAAAGAAGGCTCGCTTCATGAGTGAGGGTGTCCTCAAATATGTTTGAATAGTCATGCGTCGCACTGCCGCAAACGATTGACTTGTTGGCACCATGGTTTTGAAAAAAGTCGCCAGCCGAACACGTGACAAAGTCGAAAAGGCATACCTGGTTACGAAATAGTGCTCCTTGTCACCATAAGATGGTAGTCGTCCTACATCATTAAGCAAGATAATTGAGGCCAGAATAACGGTAGCACGTGGCTGCCACTTAACACTTAGTTTTACAAGCTAAACCATGTATGCATGACCCGATTAGAAAGAATGACGATATCGTCGAAATGGATTCGACGGTTGAGATCTGCCACGAGGCTACTGTATCCAGAACTTGGCAATTTCGTAATAGCGCTGACGCGATAGAATGCAATCAGCTTGCGCGGAAGAAAAGCGCACGCCCGTCACGTCGAATGGACACTCCTGCTGTAGGCCGCGGTCTGCGAAAGAACCGACATACACCTCGTATAATCGCGCTTGACTATAGTAGACGGGCTTCTTCGCGTGTTCATACTCCAGAATCGCATCGCTGTTGAGGTACAGCACTCTCGTGCTCGCAACGGTGCTAGCGTTCGCAGGTTTTATCGGGTAGTAATGCGAGGCATGGCCGCAAACAACCGATTTGCCCGGGCCGTTGTCGCGAAAGTCCCAGCCCACACCGCCCACTCCAAAATCAGAGAAAGCGTACTGAGTTTCAGCAAGCTCAACGGCTAAGAAATACAGTTCTTTGTCACCATACGACGGGGGACGGTTGATGCCATTGATCGCGACAAAAGCTGCCAGTATCGCAGTTGCTCGTGGCTGCATTTTCTTGTTCCACAGCACCAACGACGAGTCCATCTCGTGCCCAGCGCGGTGATTCCATGAGTGGCTCTTCAGTAGGTGCTCACTGGGCGAGTAGTTTTTCAAGTCCACTGGGACCTTGTTCTCGCTCGTTGCCTTTGGCCGCTGAATGTTCCCCAACGGTGCAAAAGGCGTCACATCAAAGTGCGAAATGTAATGGTTTAAAACGCTCACATGTGCGTTGCCACGAAACGGCGCACCCATATACATATCTGGCTGACTTATACGGTCGTGAAAAAATAACGTGCCAGTCGTGCGGTACTTGTCCGTATCCCAAAGCGTCATAGGGCTCTCAAAAAACAACGTGTCAGCATCAAGCAACATAATCTCTTCAAACTGCGAGAAGACCACGGCCAGCAGTTTAATGTAAAAGGACCGATACGCCTTATAACACGTGCTCAAGCTATCACAAAATACTTTACGCGATGGATTCAGCAAACTCGTGGTTTGCGAGGCTAATTCACATACATCGTAAAAGCGGATGATCCCCATGTTGTTCTTTTCCAATAGCGTGCGTTGTATCGATTCGTTCAGGTCTCCGCAATGTGGCACTTCAATTGGCAAAGTCACATCTTTTGCTCGTAGCTCCATTATCAGTGATAGTCCCAGCACTGCAATATTGTCAAACAATGGTGGCTGCCACGTAACACTTAGTTTTACAAGCTAAACCATGTATGCATGACCCTATTAGAAAGAATGACGATATCGTCGAAATGGATTCGACGGTTGAGATCTGCCACGAGGCTACTGTATCCAGAACTTGGCAATTTCGTAATAGCGCTGACGCGATAGAATGCAATCAGCTTGCCCGGAAGAAAAGCGCACGCCCGTCACGTCGAATGGACACTCCTGCTGTAGGCCGCGGTCTGCGAAAGAACCGACATACACCTCGTATAATCGCGCTTGACTATAGTAGACGGGCTTCTTCGCGTGTTCATACTCCAGAATCGCATCGCTGTTGAGGTACAGCACTCTCGTGCTCGCAACGGTGCTAGCGTTCGCAGGTTTTATCGGGTAGTAATGCGAGGCATGGCCGCAAACAACCGATTTGCCCGGGCCGTTGTCGCGAAAGTCCCAGCCCACACCGCCCACTCCAAAATCAGAGAAAGCGTACTGAGTTTCAGCAAGCTCAACGGCTAAGAAATACAGTTCTTTGTCACCATACGACGGGGGACGGTTGATGCCATTGATTGCGACAAAAGCTGCCAGTATCGCAGTTGCTCGTGGCTGCATTTTCTTGTTCCACAGCACCAACGACGAGTCCATCTCGTGGCCAGCGCGGTGATTCCATGAGTGGCTCTTCAGTAGGTGCTCACTGGGCGAGTAGTTTTTCAAGTCCACTGGGACCTTGTTCTCGCTCGTTGCCTTTGGCCGCTGAATGTTCCCCAACGGTGCAAAAGGCGTCACATCAAAGTGCGAAATGTAATGGTTTAAAACGCTCACATGTGCGTTGCCACGAAACGGCGCACCCATATACATATCTGGCTGACTTATACGGTCGTGAAAAAATAACGTGCCAGTCGTGCGGTACTTGTCCGTATCCCAAAGCGTCATAGGGCTCTCAAAAAACAACGTGTCAGCATCAAGCAACATAATCTCTTCAAACTGCGAGAAGACCACGGCCAGCAGTTTAATGTAAAAGGACCGATACGCCTTATAACACGTGCTCAAGCTATCACAAAATACTTTACGCGATGGATTCAGCAAACTCGTGGTTTGCGAGGCTAATTCACATACATCGTAAAAGCGGATGATCCCCATGTTGTTCTTTTCCAATAGCGTGCGTTGTATCGATTCGTTCAGGTCTCCGCAATGTGGCACTTCAATTGGCAAAGTCACATCTTTTGCTCGTAGCTCCATTATCAGTGATAGTCCCAGCACTGCAATATTGTCAAACAATGGCAACACAATACCACGCTGCTGGCTTGTGCGTTGCGCTGTCTGGTGTAGCGTAAACACGAGCTGCTTCTCCATATGCTCCACGTCTTGTACCGAGAACGCGTCACGTCCTTTTTGAGTCACTGCCCTCTGATCTCTATCTTGTTCATGTACATGAAAAACATTTGCGTTTAAATTTCCTCTTCGAAAAATTCTTCCTTGTTTCTCCCAGTGACTCGTGAGATATTTGTTGACACTAATACCTGACATGGCACGCCATATGAATACAAGATACACCGTCCTGATGAAAAATATGAGAAAAATTAACACGAGCAGATAGCGCAAGAAGCGTAAATTCCTATGACTGGGCATGTAGGCTGCTACTTTATTGACCACAATAGTCATGCGATCCAAATGTAGTAAACATTTCAAGACAAAACACGTCGGTGGTAAGATACCAATTTTAGAAAAAGTGATTCCAATTGGGTAAAATCCTACAATATCATTATAGTCTGCGGCACATCAATGTGACCCACCCTCTTGAATGTGATATCCATGGGTGGATTCACATTCCACGGGGATGACGCCCTGTTTGGGACAAAGCGTCAGGATGACGTCACAGACAGACGTCATCAGCGAGCTTACAATATATTTAAGCTCGCACGTAGGGATACGCATCTCGAGAGACGCGTATCCAATCTTTGCATAATTAGCCAATCAGTAGTTAGATTGTATTTAGTTACTTTTTGTTACATATAAATCTGTCTTGAATATGCTAAACTAAGCTCACTGCGCACGAGAAGCTGAAATAACTTCTCGTGTCGTAAGCGAAGCACTTGTCTTCGAAGTTCGTTGCGCGGTTCGCTTAGGCGACCGGCAACGGTTGGTACAGCGCTTCAGCACCGACCAACACCACCACCACCGCACGCGGAGGTAAGACGGTATAACCGCTTCCGCGCGCTGCTTGAAGGTGTGCCCACGTAGTACGAGGCATCTTCTTTACGAAGCGCCTGTCTACACTTGGTAGCACTAGCAGTCCTTCCCACGGCCCGTCTCTTTGAGCGCGCGTGTGAGTACGGATGGCCCTTAGTATGGATTGAGGGAAATTTCCTCTCCACTCTTAACTTCATAGGGAGTTGGCAGATTACTTGGGCGCAAGGACTTGGTAAACAAGCCCTGGCCAACCTCTAGAATTGTCCCCCCGAGCAACATGTTGATAGGTTGGAGCGATGTGAGGCGTTTGTGCTCGGACAGCACAGAAATGCGTCTGAAGCAAACAGCCAAGCAACGGCTTTGTCCATTTGTAAGACTCAGGATGACTTTTGCGTGAGCAAGCTCGGAACGAGGCGCTCAACAGAACTGTGAGACGCTCTCTGCCCGTTCTATCCAGGCAAGGCCCCACTTAAATGAACCCTCCGACGTTTGTACTACTGCCCCACATACAATTGTCCACTGTCTTTTAGCAGTGGAGCAACACTAGTGGACAATTGTGCGGTATGACGCAGCTTTTTGAAGACGATACCAGAATGGTGTCTTATGCCATGTCCAACTTGCGTGGCAAAGCGTCAGAGTGGGCATACTCTGCGCTTATTAAAAAATGCTGATGCGTTTCCATCATGGGCGATCTTTAAGTCAAAGATTCGCGCCATGTATCAGCCGCCTAGCAACGAAGTGTTTCTTATGGCGCGCTTCTTTATAGCACGACAGGCGAAACGCTCTCTGCAAGAGTATGTGCAGGAGATGCGTTCGCTGTCGGCGTCCATTAATGGGGAACCGATACCAGAGCGTATCAAGGTGGCCACGTTCATGAATGGACTTAGGCACGGCCCATCGTGTCAGGCTCTTTTCAGAAAGGTGCCAGCGACGATGGAAGAGGCAATTAACATTGCCTTAGTTGAGGAGCAATCCTACAACAGCGCCTCGGCGACAGCCTATTACAGGCCGTCGTCCGAGAAGTCTGATGTCACTCCTATGAAGTTAGGCAATGCAGATGTGATCTGCTACAAGTGCGGCAAGCGAGGCCATATGATGGCTCGCTGCTATGCCGAAGTAGCTGCTGGTTCTAAGGCAGCCAGCAAAAGGTCTCCCAACCCGAAGGGAGGTGCAAAAAACTAGCGTGCACGACGCACGGGTTCAGCACCTGCCCAAGATGGGTCGGGAAATGCGGAAGCGCAGTAGGGGCGGGATGCCCTACTGTTGCGGACTCTGAAGCTACCCCTAAGTTCAGAGTGATCGAACAAATGAGTAGCATAGTCACTGAGGTTACGAAAGGTCGAACCTCAACCCTTTTGATCTATAGCGCTCGAGTACGAGGCTATGACCAAGTGATGACCCTTCTCGCGGATTCGGGTGCATCACAGAGTTTTGTTAAACTCGCGGCTCTGAAAAAGAGACCGGCGAGTTATGAGTCGCTTTGCCAGGATGGCAAGCGAGAAGAGGCGATCGTTCGTTTAGCGAACGGCGCGCTCGTTAAATCGGAGGGAGTTTAAGTTGAACTCGCCTTCAGTTTTAGTGGCTTCTCTTGTAAAGAGAAGTTCACAGTGCTAGGTATGGAGAGTCCGTATGACCTCATCCTAGGCATGCCTTGGTTGGCTAAACACCAACCATGGATAGACTGGCGTACACGCACAGTCGCTAGCTCTACGCAAGACACCGGAAAGGATGTGCTCCTGCGAGAGGCTTATGTAATTGATGCTGTGTCCAACACAGTCGAGGGTGCGGCGACGGTATGTCAATCGGCACCAGGAACTACCCAGCTCGAAAGGAGTGGTGTAGTTGGAAGTGCACTGGCGGAAAGCCAGGTGACACATATTCTTACCCAGGCCGAAAAGACTGGTGTTTAGTATATGGGGCGATGACAAGTAGTCATGCGTCCAATAGTCCTGCACAGATCCAATAGCCTGTGGTAGTTGATGGTGAGCTGACAGGAAGTCAAGCGCCACAAGAACCGGCGCAGAGCCATGAGCCTGGTGCGGTTGGAAGGAGTGCGTTAGCTGAGATAGCAACGACACCTTCTTCCAGGTCAAAGGTCGTGGTGACTCGAAGAACGAGCACCAGACGTATTAAGACGATCAAGGACACGTCGAAACGAGTAACCCTTGGATCAGTCTCGGTCCAAGAGGACGGACCTACGAACGAGTTGTTCGAGGCCGTCGAAGACAAAATGCCGGAGGCATCTTCACTTGAGGTGCTCCAACTTGTCTTGGCATCTGCCGAGGAGATAGTAAATCTCTCGGAGATGACAAGGGATCTGTTTTTGTCCGAACTAAAGGAAGGAAAGATCCACGAGATAGTCGCACCAGTTCCAGGAGAGAACGTGTTGGACTGTTGCTCTTCGTCCACAATGGATGAGAGCGTCTTGGAGACCAACAAGAAGAAACGATTCGCTGCTCAAGGCTGGGATGCTTTGAAGGACAGCCCGTTTTATGATGTTCTGTGGAAACACCGTGATGTGTTTCCAGCAGAAGTGCCGAGCCGCCTACCGGCCGATAGGGGTATCACGCACGAGATTGACCTGGAGCCTGGCACCAAGTATTGTGTGACCAGGCAATGGCCGTTGCCGAAGGAACAAGTAGATTACATCGATGAGTTCTTCGACAAGCGAGTCAAGGCGGGACATGTACGTGAGAGCAAGTCGCCTCACTGCAGCCCGACCTTCTATGTGCGAAAACAACAGGTGGATGGCGCGTGGTTCATGCTTATACTAAGCTGAACACGTCCACCATTCCGGCTCAAACGCCGATCCCGTGGAAATATGTTTTGTTGAATTCCATGGGAAAGTCAACTATCTTTTTGCGTTGGATCTGAAGGATGGCTACTACCAACTTTCCATGAAAGATACTGATGTAGCCAAAACAGCAGTAAGCACCTCAAGCGGTATGTTGTGGGAGTGGCTTGTGATGCCACAAGGGTTGAAAAATGCTCCGGCAACATTTAACAGAGTGGCGGCTCACGTGATGCGTCAGCACCATATCTATGCGCCCCATTACTTTGACGATGTATTCGTGCATAGTAGGGCGGAGGAGGTCTGAGCGCGATGGAGTCGCACAAGCGTCATTTAGACGCTGTGTTGCAGACTTTGGGTGATGCCCAATTATACGTTAACTTTCAAAAGTGCGTAATAGGGGTCCCCGAGATACCTGTACTGGGCTGCATCGTAGGTGCACATGGTGTACGAGCAGACCCAGAAAAGGTAAAGGCTGTAAAGGAATGGCCAGTCCCACGACACGTGAAGGATTTGCGCCAATTCCTTGGGCTCGCTAATTACTTGCATAAGTACAGCAAGAATTATGCGGAGCAGACTAAGCCATTATCTGACCTTTTGAAAAAGGATACAGAATGGACTTGGTCAAAGGAGCAAGTAGATTCGTTCACATCAGTGAAGCAATCTCTTGTAGAGGCACCGATCTTGGCATTGCCAGACGCGGATAAGCCCTTTAGCGTCGTATGCGATGCAAGCAATTTTGAAATCGGCAGCGCGCTCATGCAGAAGGATGACAACGGCGTTGACCGTGTCATTTCTTATCAGTATCGGCTTTTGAAAGCCGCAGAGCTGAACTACCCTGTGCATGACAAGGAGATACTTTCAATTAAGTATGCCCTTGTGAAGTTTTGGGTGCATCTCTTGGGCATCGAACCTTTGTGGTTTATACGGATCACGCATTACTGCGGACCGCTATAAATTCATCGCATCTGTCATCTAGGATGGCGAGATGGCTAACATTCTTCTCTGAATTTAATTTCAATGTTGAATATAAGCCGGGGAAGTCGAATGTCTTGGCTGACGCGTAATCGCGCAGACCCCAGACTTCGAAGCAAGACACCAGGAAAGTGTGTCTCGTGCGAAAGCACAAGTCGAGTCGTCAACACTGGCAGCCATGAAGGCCTACCATGTGACGAGCTCAATGGCCTCCGATATAAAGGAGTGTTACAGTCAGGACGAACATTGTCGCCTGCTGATGGATCATTTTGGTGGACGAAAGGTTACCCTTCTGTCGCACCTCAAAGCGAAACTAAATCGCTTTAGTTACAGTGATGGCCTGTTATGGCATCAACTGTCACCCTGTGATCCCTTGAGAATCTATGTCCCTCATGACACAGATCTCAATCTGATGATACTTCACGAGTGCCATGATGCGCCATCTAGTGGGCATCTGGGCCGTGAAAAGACATTCTTACGAGTGTCAGAGGAATTTTGGTGGCCCCACCTATATCGGTGGGTGGCCAACTATATTCGCTCTTGCGAAGAGTGTCAGCGCATAAAGCCTGCAACTTCGAACAGTGCTCCACTGAAGTCACTGCCGATTCCAACTGAGTGTTGGACGTCGGTCAGTTCGGACTTCATGTTTGACTTACCGCCTGACCATAAAGGCAGGACGGGGCTCGTCGTATATGTAGACAGACTGAGCAAGATGGTGCATTTGGCACCATGTAGCACCAAGATCTCGGGAAAAGAGGCTGCCCTCTTGTTTCTGGATCATGTGTATCGACTACACGGGATGCCCGAGTTCATATTATCGGACCGGGATCCGCGTTTTACGTCGGGTTTTTGGCGACATGTGTTTGAGCTGCTGGGTAGCAAGCTCCATATGTCTACCGCTGAGCATCCCCAGACCGATGGCCAAACGGAACGGGCCAATCGAGTCGTGGCGGATGTATTGCGTACAGCTGCGACTCCCAAAGAATGGAGCTAGCAATTGCTATTCGTGGAGCTCGCTATTAATAACAGTGTTCACACCAGTACGGGTGAAACACCGTTTTACATTAACGGACTGCGTCATCTTCGAACGCCAGTCTCGTTTGTACGCAGCCCGAGTCTTAGTGGGGGAGGGCCCCTCACTTCGCTTGGTCCGAATGCCAAAAAAAGGCCAAGGTTGCCCTAGTGATACTGCTATTTTAGCAGTGGTCACGGCACCTATAGGTGTCACAGAGGAGGCACGGCAAGAAATGCCAGTGCTCCTTGACGATAATACCTTAGTGTCATTAACAGCGTCTACCCACGACCGACCTCTTGGGGATATAATAGTCTAGCTGGATGCTAAAAGCGTGAGCGAAGCTCAGCGCATCGTGAATGAGCGATTAGCCATCACACGTAAATTCCGTGACGCGATGGAAAGCGCACAGGATAAGCAAACACAATATGCAGACCAGCATGGTCGCAAAAATAATGACAACTTTAGTGTGGGGGACAAAGTGCTATTAAGTACTGCTACCCTACCTAAACATGCAATTTCTGTACTACCTGGTGGTCCGACTAATCTATTGACCCGATTCATTGGGCCCTTTACAGTGATTGAAGAAGTTGGAGACCTATATTATAGGCTCACTCTCCCACCGTATATGAAGACGCACCCCGTATTTTACGTGGGTCGTCTGAAACGGTATGTTGATCCAGAAGAGATCACATATCCACATCGGTCTAACGAGACCAATTGTGACGTCGTCTTTGAGTCGAGCGTCGCGGCTGATCAGGCGACGAGGAAGCCGAGAGGCTCCCCGTATATGAACGAGACGATAGAGTACTCGGCGATCGAGGAGGACTTCGCGCTTGACGCGGGTCTCTCATCACCAGTCGCTCTAAGATGTCCAAACGGGTCTTCAGGCGGTCATACCCCTGACGGTCCCTCGTCCTCACATCGCGCAGATCCGAGGTCAGTCGCGAGACTTGACTCTCGAGATCTGCCACCTGCCTCTTCAGCGCAGCGGACTCAGCCTGCTACTGAACAGCAGCAGGATAGGTAGCCGAGAGTAGGTGCGCGTAATCGCCACTCCTATCGGGCGCCACCTGTGTTAGTGGACACGGATGGGAATACGCGCTTCCTTGTTGGAAGGCTGTTGGCCCACCGGTTTGTGAAGCGAAAGCTCCAAATCCTTGTCCAGTGGAAGGGTTACCCAACGAGCTTTGACTCGTGGGAGCCTGTGGACGCTCTTTACGCGTCGACGTGCCTGGGCTGGTGGCTGCTTATGTGAAGCAGCACCAGCTGTCGTCTTTCTGATAGGTACGGATGGACTAGCAGAAGAAGCGTGGCGAGAATCAATTGGGGGTCGCTTACCACCCAAGATTTTATGCGCACGCTTCATGGCGAAGCTGATTCGCTGTGACCGTTGTTTCGTTGCACCTACATGGAATGTAACACGGCGCTGAAGTTCAGCTTCATATTCGTTAGAACGCAGCACGACTGGAATTGGGAAAGCACGACCAAGTCCTTTGCCCTGCTTTTTCCACAAGGGAAAGACGCTATCAAACTTGTGAGTGTCAATAGTTGCACGCTGCAAAAGCGCTGCACTAGACCCATCCGAGTACATCCACTCAGATGGAGGTGGCATTGGTGGCAAGCCACCACTCACGTAGCCGCCCTCGCGACGGCGGGCTAGTGAGGCCGAAGGTGTACTCGATGGAGCTTTAAGCTCACACTCACCTGAGTCTGACTCTCCATTATGGATTGTCAAGACATCAGTATGAGGAGTCACATCTGACTGAGTCGCGACTACTCCTTTCGAAGTAGCGTGCTCAGTCTTAGTCGCTGCGCTCGTAGGCGCAGGTGACGAGGCCTTTCCTTCACTTGCAGGAAGCATAGAAGCTTTCTCAAGGACGGATGCCTCAAATGATGGGGACATATGTCCCATCAATGCGCTTTGCTCATCTCCACTTTGGGGTGATGGCAGTGGCGTAGTCTCATTGTAATCTACAATGAGCTACAATGAGAGATGGATCTTCATCCACATTATCGTGAGATGGAAGATTCGCCTCAGTGCCTGACGCACTTTGCGACGGCTGCGATAAATCGCGGCGCATGCGCTTAGTGTTGGACTGCATGGGCTCCTTTGCAGGCGACCCATCAGCCTTACCACGCTTCGGTGGCATGAGAATTAAGTAGACTAAGCGGCGCATTTATAACGGCTCGCAAGTCTCTCTGTCTCCTGGCGATGTTTTACAAGATGCAAAAATCGTTCTAAAACGGGGGATGGTGTAACAGGGCATCTAGTTACACGTAAACATTAAGTAATTTACTTAATTTTTGGTCTAAAAGTATCCATGATTATTTTTGACCTGTCACTTGGGTGCGATACACAAATGTGATCCACCCTCGTGAATGCGATATCCATTAATGGATTCACATGGGAAGGGATGACGCTAGTTGAAGCTAGGCATCGCGACGTCTCAGAAGGACGTCAGTCGCAAGTTTAAATCTAGATTTAAACTCATGCGACAGGATACGCTTCTAAAGAGTCGCGTATCCGATCTATATACATATATAACCAATCAGTAGTTAAGTTTATATTAATTATAATTCATTAAATATAGCTCAGTCTTGAATTTGCTAAACACATAAGCACCGCGCACGAGAAGCTGAAGAAGCTTCTGCGTGACGCCGGTGATTTCTTGTTTAGAAGTTCGTTGCACTCTCGCTTAAGCGAGAGGCAACTGGTGGTACGACTGCTTAAGCAGTCCACCAACCGCATAACCACCCTCTACGCGAAGGTAAGACGGTCTAACCGCTTCCTCGCTTGTGCTGAAGGTGTGTGCTAGTAACTTCGTAGAAGTCCTCGTCTACAGTACTGGTGCCCTGGAAAACACTTCTTCACAGAGTCGAAGGCATATTGATGTTCTACCTTCCATAAATATACTGCTTTTTCTTTGCCCGTCATCGCACTTGGTTGCCTTATGAAACATGAAAGGTATAATATATTGCATTGCTTATCGCATCATCGTCATGCTAATTTTACTGCGCCAGTCGATAAATGACAATTCCAAATTTAGACCCAATTACATCAATATATACATTTAATTATTTTCAAGTCTTTGTATGTTTACATTAATTTATCTTTTAATCGTGCGTAGGTTGTATCAATTAATTTACCTTGTAAATAAATAATGTATTTATTAAATACGACGGTCCTCCTACGTACCCGCCCCTACCACACATTTGCAAATTGTACCGCAGCATCCCGATTAAGTGTGTACCAGCCTCATCACTCTGGCCTCACTTCATCATGACCTGTTTGTCCAGCTTCATGCGACGGCGGTGGATCGTCTTGGCGTTCGCTGCGATTGTCATTTTCGTGCTAATCGACTTTTTCTTCACGTGGGAGCGACTTACTTTGACAGCGTGGTCCTCGTCCACCTCACATTTTTTTTCCATCCGCGGCAATTCCACCATCATTCAGACCAAGTCCGATTCTTTGGCGCAACCAAATGACTTTGCGGATGCTACTATACCCAAGACGACAGTACCCAAGGTGATACCGATGAAGGTGGAGCATAACGCCTCAAGGACTGCAAGTGAACGTGAACAGATTCAAGTAGATGATCGTGCTACGTCAAGGCTCGAACTTCTTGAGAGCGAGCAGACTGACCAATTGGAGCTGGACAAGCAGCTTGTTTACACCCTGAGTCAGATCATACAGCGTACAACAACAAAGCGTGGCATCGTGATGCCACTTTTCGAGAAACTTACGGGATTGGGATTGTCTTTGATTTTGGAACTGCGTGCAATGGGAGTCAGTTTGCCCATTGAAGTGCCTCACTGCACTGAGCTGAACCCTAAGACCCTTGAGTTATTACAAACGAAGAAAGAGCTGGGTAAGATTCGAGCTTATGATATCTGCGATCTTGCCGCCAATGCCAAAAGTGCCACGAACACTTCACGTCCTGTTTTTTGCGATAATATTGACGCCTGCCATACGAAGTTTCGTTCTTTCATGATAAAGCCCTTATCAATTGTTTATTCGCAGTTCGACCAAATCTTGATGCTCGACGCCGATACGTCTTTCTTCCTAAATCCGACAGTTCTGTTTGACTCGGAAAAGTTCAAGACTACGGGTATACTTTTAATGCACGATCGCATAGGCGGTGCAGGACATTTGGCTAGAAAGGCGCCCCGACAACCCAATTTGTCGGTGGAGCAGGAATATTTTTCAACGTTCAACGTAACCCCATTCAGGCCGGTACCAACACTTCAGCGACCAAAGGCTACCGTTCCGAACAAGACCCCCGTCAAGCTAAATTTTGAGCCCAGCGACTTTTTGCTAAGCAGTCACTCTTTCAATCGCCGTGCCAGTCATCAAGCTGATTCATCGCAGATGTTCTGGAATAAGAAGCTTCAGCCTCGTGCGACAGTAATCTTGGCGTCTTTTCTTGCACAGAGCGACATCGCACCACCTCCATCTCACGGTGACAAAGAGTTATTTTTCTTTGCAAGTGAATTGGCAGAGACGCAGTACTCCTTCTCGGATTACTCTGCCGGATCTATCGGCTCAGAGTTCGAGGACGGCGGTCCCAAGAAATCAACGCTCTGTGGTATCTTGGCTCACGTGTTCCCGATTCGCCAAGAGGGAGTGCCTGACGACGACGTACCTTTGTTTTCCCTAAACAACAAGCGTGTTTTGATCTTTAGGCCGGACTTGGAGCCATTTTATTATATGAAGGCGCGGCCCTGGGAACTTTTTCCTGGTTTCATTGGAAGTCGACATCTCCATTGTCCATTTAACATCACTGTCGGCCGTTTAAACGAGTCCCACATCAAACACTTTACAGAACGACGGAAGTTTTTAGAGCAAGTAAATGCGTGGTAAGTAGTTTAATTGTAAAACTTGTTTTCGATAGGTTCTATCTACAACAATGAGCGTAATATATTATACACGTCTTGCAACATCTTGAAAAAGAACTCGGTGTGTTTCATTTTTTACCAATGCGTTTCTAATGTAGGGAATACATGAGGTCTTAGGGCTTGAGGTATGGCACCTGTTGCACGTCATTTATAGTGTAGCCAATTAGCAGCTAGTTCTCGTTCGCGTCTACAGTACTAATCCAAAGGTAAAGCATCTGTTACTGCCACCCCCGAATATTTTTAATCATAAAAAACTCCGCTGTCAGGTCATTCATTTTCGATTCTTCTTATTTGTAAGGAAGCATAGATTTCGTTGAATGGATACTATGGGTCCCAGCTTTGTCCTTATAGTCGTCGCGGTCACATTGGTGAAATGGAGAATTGATTCTGTCGTCGCCAACGACATTACTACCACTACTAGCGGAGAGCCAGAGTTTGAGCTGCCGACCGCCCGTCGATACCTAAAGGGAAGCACTGTAGTTTCTAATTCTAAAAATATCCCTGTAAAGCTAAAGGAGGAGGAGAGAATGTCAGTTTCAAGTGTCCCGAGTTTGAATTTACTGAAGGATCTATTCCAGAAGAATTTGGCTCATGTCATAGCCACGGAGAAGGCTCAAAGAAGTCGTATTACTGCATTTCTAGCTGAGAATCCTGCTATCAAGAAGGAAATAATAGTAGGAGCAGTTCTACTAGCGCTGATCATAACAGTTCCACCAATAGTTAACTCGTTTTATCCCGCGTAGACGAAGACATTATAGCAATATGTCATAAGAATGCAAATTCATACTGTATGCAATCTTACACTTTTTTAAATGTAACATCTCAATTGTCACTACTTGCTTTTCATTCCAGAAATCGTCAGTGTATACCCTAGAATCTTGTTGTACATCGTTATCTGGAAGCGTTTAATATCCTAGGGCATATGCGACGTGTGTACCTCTAAATTGTATTTTACATTACCCACTTAGCCATAAGGTTACAGTTCACGTGTTTAATGTGCTGACACGAAGTGCATCCAGGCAAATCTCTTTCGAAGTGATATTTCGAATAGTTTCCGATTTCTACAACAAAATGTCAAAACTACATTTACCCAACATCTACCCGTTTTATTGAGATCATGCAGCGTACCTTAAGTGTGAAGCAGCCGCATGTGACGCATAACCGCGGTGAGTAAAAAGCGAATAGTTCCTAGGCGCGACTATGGATATCCGTTCTAGCTCTTTTAGGAGGAAGCACGAGTGTAAAGGGGTTACACAACGGTTGGAACATCATACCGAAAGAACATCATGGTTGAAGTTTCTGTATTGCATGTATGTATTTCTAATACCGGTCCTTTTTGAAGGGGTATTGGATTTGAGCAATATAATAAAGGTATCAGTAATACCTTATACTATCGGTATCGGCTCCAAAACTGATACAGCAGTACTAAGTACACCATACACTATGATTGGATGATTCCATATCCAGATACAGACGATGGCATATGTTATAATAATTAATCTAGTGTAGAGTATTAAAAGTAGAAATATTCAGTGTATAAATGTATCGGGGTTACACGACGGTTGTGACATCATTCCGAAAGTTTACGGTTGAAGCTTCTTTTTATTGCATATAATGCATTCTTACTACTTCTCTTTAAAGAGGTATTAAGTATGATACGGTAATCGGTTTACCGTATCATATTGATTAGGATTCGATAAATCGATAACGCTGTACGAAGTACATCATACACAGATGTTTTAGACGATACGTCGTCCAATAGCAAAGTCTGCATATTATAATTACTACTGTATTATAGTAGTTAATCTAGTGTAGTGTACTTAGGGTAGGACTAACCATAAAATCTTAAAGCATAGATAAAATCAGTTCTCATTTTGAGTTTAAGATCGCGAGTCGTTCTGACTTGCTCTCTTGTGCACTTCGTGCGTTGGTTCTTTGAACCTCTAAGCTTCTAGCTTATTCTTGCACTCTGTGCGTTGGTTCTATGAACCTGAAGCTTATTGCTTGCAGACTAAAAGTCACTCCTAGTTCCTTAGAACAGGGTAACTTCTTAGTCGTCTAATTAGTTCTCTACAGTAAAACTAAGAGTCTTTCAGCCTAAAGGCTTCCTCTGTCTAAAGAGCTGTGCAGCTTCGCTACACTTGGTAGCACTCGTAGTCAATCCTACACCTGAGTCTTTAAAGACTGACCCTCTGTGAGGATGGAGAATCAAAATCACATCTCTGAGGCGCAACGAATAGCACTATATAGATTATCTACCTACGTTGGGCCCAATCAAATTGAGGCCCTTTTGGCTCAAGGCCCGGAGATCATCAATGCTCGCCTTGAGGCCTTCATGAATGATGAGGCAACGCTACTCGGGCAGGTTCACGACCAGGCAGCGTCAGCTGGTACCTGTGCCCGATGTAGAGACAAAGGCTCGCTCACTCGTTATAAACGCTAAAACCTTTGAGGGGAGCGAGGGAGAAAATCTTCTCCTCTGGATCCGGAAGTTGAAATAGCAATGGAAGCCGCCATGCTTGTGTCAGATAAGCAACGAGTTGGCTTGGCCATTTCTAAGCTCGGTAGAAGAGCTAGAGAGTGGGATCTAACGAACAATGTCTCTGTAAATGCCGTATTCCCCACATGGAAAATGCTTAAAAAGCAATTAACTTGTGTGTTTGCACCGCCTAATCAGGCTTATCGTGTGCGCTCACGTTTCTTAGCTACCCGACAGGGTAAGAAAGAATTGTCGGACTATGTCCAAGAGTTGAGAACTCTCATTGCTGCTATGCAGCAGAACCCTCTGGCAGAGGAAGTCTGCGTGAATGACTTCTTACTGGTGTCGCCAGGACAAAAAAAAATCGTAACCCTTCAGCTTTCGAAGAGGCAATGAGCATAGCGTTTAACGATGAGTTCAATATCAAATCTGCTCGCTATGTTCTGACATGGTATCATTCAAATGCCTCTAATAGGGCGGAACCCATGGACCTCAGCCATGCTGAAGAAGCTGAGCTTCAAGCTGCGAGTGCGTAGATTTGCTCTCGAGCACCATACCGATGCGTGTTTTGCACGAAATAACTCGTCAATGACGTCACACGGTTCTATAGGTAAAGTGCACTGCCGTGTTACGCAGTATATGGTTCCAGGAACCAAGTCAATCTCATGACATACACCTATCAGGGGGCAGAACAAACGGTTGATAATAGCACACCACGTCCTAAAATTCCTTAGCTAAAGGGTAGTAGGTATCCGAGGGTTACTCAGCATAGATGATCCACAACATGCACTAAGTGCCGTCTTTGTATCTTCAAGGAGCGTTTCATCGACAAGCGAGGATGAGTCCAACTCGAAGTTAGGCCGAATGACCACCATATCATATAGATTACCAGCCTTCAAGGCTCGATGAAATTCATCCACAGACATTTCGTCTAGCTATAAGAGAGCACTTAGTAATGGGAGGGCCTCAAGGTCAACCTCACCATCTGCATCACCTGTCACTCCGTTGACCACGGTGTACAACTGGTCACTGACATTACTACGCGATAAAACAGACGCTTTACGTCTCGCAGCCGCCATCTGGCGAAGCTGCCGTCTCATTGACGAGACCGCACCTTTTAGAGTACTTGTGATATCATCATCCTCAAGGTCAACAGATTCCTAGACCTTAATCTGCTCTATACGAGAGCCGATGTCATTACCGACATCCAGTGTCTCATTATTACTATGAGTTTCACTCAATGGAGTACGTGCCGTTCCACTAAGTGTCACTGAGCTCTGATTGACACTATTATTATTAACATTGGAGTTTATCAACTCAGACACTCCAATGTCCAGCACACTAACTGAATCAGTTAATGGCTCGCGCCTATAACACTTCTGTTTCCCTAGCGAAGGTGGGTTCATGACTCTCCAAAGCTTCGCTAGGAACATTGCGCGTTGCGCATAAAGTTTTGGATCTCCAATCGATTCATGGCTCATGGCGTTCCAGCCAAGCCGTACCGAGAATGAGATCATATCTCGAGTCCAAATCTAGGACAAGACACTGTTCAACGCTACTAAAGTCTAAAAAATTTACACCTAAGATTAACGGAACCTTAGGAACGGTGACACGTACACCTGTCGCGAGACGAACGGTTATACTGTCACACTCTTGTGCTTCTGACGCCTCAGTATACAGCTGACTCCGTTCAAGGAAATAACGTCGGACATAATTACCCGACGCCCCTGAGTCAATAAAATTGACCATGGCTTCTCAAAGCCTTTAACGGTTGCCGACACAACCAACAAGCCTGGCTTGTATTCCTGCTCCATGGAAGCTTCCACAGAACCACCTGGCGATAGTTTACCTCTACCTCCTAGAGGCTCAACAGAATCTATATCTTGGCGCGGGGCGCCGTACTGGAAGTTGACATTTCCCCCTGCCGTTCTCGCATTTTGGCTAGGAGCAGGGTTACGGCTCTGCTTATGCTGACGCTGCTTTCGCAACGTACAGCTGCCTAGTGCTTCCGCACATGTAACATCTACGGATGTTACCTGGATGTTCAGCTTGCTTTTCAGCAACTCAAACACATGACGCCAAGAACCCGACGTAAAACGCGGATCCCGGTCCGATACTATGGACTCGGGCATCCCGTGTAGTCGATACACGTGATCCAGAAACAAGAGGGCAGCCTCTTTTCCCGAGATCTTGGTGCTACATGGTGCCAAATGCACCATCTTGCTCAGTCTGTCTAAAAATACGACGAGCCCCGTCCTGCCTTTATGGTCAGGCGGTAAGTCAAACATGAAGTCCGAACTGACCGACGTCCAACACTCAGTTGGAATCGGCAGTGACTTCAGTGGAGCACTGTTCGAAGTTGCAGGCTTTATGCGCTGACACTCTTCGCAAGAGCGAATATAGTTGGCCACCCACCGATATAGATGGGGCCACCAAAATTCCTCTGACACTCGTAAGAATGTCTTTTCACGGCCCAGATGACCACTAGATGGCGCATCATGGCACTCGTGAAGTATCATCAGCTTGAGATCTGTGTCATGAGGGACATAGATTCTCAAGGGATCACAGGGTGACAGTTGATGCCATAACAGGCCATCACTGTAACTAAAGCGATTTAGTTTCGCTTTGAGGTGCGACAGAAGGGTAACCTTTCGTACACCAAAATGATCCATCAGCAGGCGACAATGTTCGTCCTGACTGTAACACTCCTTTATATCGGAGGCCATTGAGCTCGTCACATGGTAGGCCTTCATGGCTGCCAGTGTTGACGACTCAACTTGCGTTTTCGCACGAGACACACTATCCTGGTGTCTTGCCTCGAATTCTGGGGTCTGCGCGATAACGCGTCAGCCAAGACATTCGACTTCCCCGGCTTATGTTCAACATTGAAATTAAATTCAGAGAAG